AAGCTATATCAGGGATTAGCAACTAGCAGGGGAGAATCAACAATTTATATTAAGAAGAGATGGGAAAAGGAAATTGGTTTGGACATTACAAATGAGCAATGGGATAATGTATGTGAGACAGCCTTGTCGACCACCAGCTCTGCCAACTGGCGCGAATTTAGTTGGAAAAACTTGACACGGTTTTTTATAACCCCCAAACAACAAACGACATGGAACCTGAAGAGTCCTTTATGCTGGAGAGGTTGTGGGGATAGGGAGGCCCATCACACTCATATATTTTGGTCCTGTGCTAGGATAAAACCATTCTGGACTGATGTCAGATTAAAAATAGACCAAATAACTGGTGTCAAACTTAAACAAGAAATGATGACACTCTACATGGGAGACATACCCACAGGCTTGCCAAATAACATTAAATATTTAATCAACATTTTTATTGCATGTGCAAAAAAAGCAATCACCAGGAAATGGCTTCAAACAGACCCGCCTTCATTGGAAGATTGGATAAATCTAGTGGACGAAATTCATCAAATGGAGCGTCTGACTTTCATGCTAAGGACACAGGCTAATATCTATTACTACAAATGGGGTAATTGGTTGACATATTTTAGTACAGGCTCAGTGTTGTGACTTGTATGTAAGTATGGGTAAATATATGGGTATGCATAATACTCTAACCCTGCTCTTGCTACATCTGTATGAAAATATTTAGTGATGTACAGTGATACTTCTTAATGCTGACTGTATTTTGTCTACTGTTCTTGTTCTGTTCATAAAAAATGTCAATAAAATTTAAGTTTAAAAAAAAAAAAATCTCAGCAGCCAAGAGGTGATCTACAGGCAACATCTTCGCCTCTACACATAAACTTATATCACTGGGGGTTGGTAGACTACAATGATCTAAATTTGAGGCCAACAAGGAAGCCACAAGAGTTCAGAGGAAAGTCACACACGCTGATAAAGCATGACACAGAATAGAAATACATCACAACGTATATATTTTCAACAACATCTAAACATACATGACCCTAAAAACTGAAAATTGTGGGTGAAGGAAATGTGCCTGTCACCTCTGGGGTAAGGTATGTGCAGTTCTGGCTAGGGGCTTTGGTATGTTGCTGTTGTTTGTTGATGGTTTGTTGCGGCTCTGGTAAGATAAGAGATCCTTTTTTTTGGGTTTTTTCATTGTGCTGCTTGTTGCCGTCATGTTGTTGGACATTGCTTCGCTTCTTTGCTACTAGCTCCCAAGCCCTGGTGATCCAAGATGGCGCCCTATTCAAATGAATGGCTTTTGCTCAGTAGCGCATGGAACTTCACGGGGACCGAAAGATTATCGGAACTCGCCTATATTTGGACATTGTCTGGTTCTCCCAGTTCTGTGCAATGGACGAGCTCCCATGATGCTTTGCGCCAAATACGCGTGTGTGGCTCTCATGCACGTGCACAGAGGGGCTCGGCCGCACTCTGACCAATCAGAGCTGCTGATCAGAGCGGAGTCAGAGCGGAAAGGAATCAAGCAGAGTTTGTGGCAGTAAAGTGTGGATTTAAAGAAAACCAAAAGATTTAAAAAGAGAGTGTCATCTCTTCCCGAACCCGACCAGAATAATGGTTAAAGTAGGTCATCCAAAAACGAAAACTATTCTTTGTAAATCTATACACACACGCACACACAGGAGGAATATATTCTAAATTATTAATTTTTATGTGTATATTCCCTTCAAACAAGATGCGAACCACAAAAAAACGGATGATAAACATAAACTAAGATTGTCAATTGCCTGTTCTTACCTTTAGAAACAGTTTAACAAGGCCGAAGTGCACTTACTTGCTTCGTCAGCATTATTTACCGAAACATTTTAGCTAGTCATTCTGAAACACACGCAGTCTTTCCCGTACTCGCTCAGTATGAGTGTTCCCAGCCTTGTTCCAATGCGTATCACGAGTGAGTACCTGCTCCCAGTCCGTATCTGAAGAGCGGGGGATCTCCACAGAAAGGCCCCTCTTCCTCGCGTCCTCCGCGCCTCTTTCGCTGTCTTGTACACGCGTGGGTCGTCCTCCCAATGGACTCTCAGTTTCGCAGGATACGGTGTCTGAAAGCGTATCTTTGCTTCTTTAAGAGACTTCTTAATGTCCTTGTATTCCTTCATTTTATTGTTTATCTCCGTGGGCATGTCATTGGCAAACGTAATAACTTTACCGTCAAAGATGATCTTCTTCGCCCAGGCTGCACGTAACACTTTGTCCTTCATATCAAACCTTTGAAAGTTGACTAGAATGGATCTAGCGGCATGTTTATCCTGTGGCTTTGGCCCCAGAGAGCGATGAGCGCGTTGGATCTGCAAATCCTCCTCCTCTCGTAGGGAAAGTTCCCTCTTCAGAAAAGTGTACATAAACGATGACATAGAGCTACCTTCCGCATTCTCACTGATGTTATATACACGGAGGTTATTTCGTCTGGATCGGCCCTCCAAATCAGTCATTTTTGTCATCAGGGTTTTCTGTTGTTTGATTGAGTGTAGGAGCGGGTCTCTTAGATCCTTGTTTGCAGATTCGAGTTCACCAATACGCTGTTCAGATTCCGCCAGACGCGTGCCTTGGTTTCGAATATCCGTAGTAATATTCAGAAGCTTCTGGTTAATCTCCGTTTTGAAATGCGCCAGTTCGTGTTTTATTTCGTCCTTCATTTCTGTCATTTTATTGGACAAGCACATTATAGCTTTAGCCGTGGTTAGCTCCTCCGTAGCTTCAGCTAGCTCTAGCTGGTTTTCCATGTTAGCCTCGCTATCCTCCGTGTCCTCCGCGGTCACCTCCCTCGTGTCAGAGTCATCCTTGGTTGCCTGGAATCTAGTTACACGCCTCATATTTGAATAAAATAATTAAGCAAGTTTTTTCTCGAGTTGCGTGAACTTTTTTACAACTTCTGGTCGGGAGCGGAGAAGAGTCACTCCGCCATCTTGAAAAGCTCGCCGGAAGTCTCGGCTGCTGAGATTTTTAAGGGTTTCCCAAACGCGTGTCTCCACAAACCACAGTCCAAATAATGTATTAGAGGTTTCTTTATTGGCCCCTATGACCATTAATCCAGATAAACATAATACATTCCACAGTAATTGACACAGTGAGAAACAGTATACCTCAAACCTAGCAGCACCTGTGCCCTCTAATTCTGGGGCAGGAGGAGAAAAAAAAGGAGAATGGGCTCTGGTCACATAACGCCCACAGCGGCACCTTGTGGCTAGGGAAAGGTACATTTTGGCTCCTACATTATGTAACGCCATATGAAATCTTAAGCAATTATTGACATAAGCAGGACCGTACAGTACTTCCTGGACCATAAGCCTCTTCTTTTTCCATGTTATTTGACCTCTGCAGCCTTTATAGCAACAAAACCATTTGACAGAGCTCTCTCTGGGGTACATGAAGGAAGTTAGACACAGCTCTATCAGCTGTTGATCTCCAAAGCTGGTAGCGTAGCACACAGTCCTGCTTCCTGGTGTGTTTATGTGAACAGCAGAGAGACGAGAATGTGCAGGGAAATATACAGGACTTGTAATCAGGGCTATAGTCAGGGCAGAGTTTGTGGACTTATTCATTTGACTCCATCAAGTTTTAGTAGGAATTTTATTGTCCTCCCACACCTTTTAATAATAATGATAATAATAATACATCCGTTTTATATAGCGCTTTTCAAAAACTCAAAGACGCTTCACAATTCAGGACACACACACACACACTGAGACAGACACACGAAACTAAAAATCTAAAAGCAGGAAAGAAGAGTACATATGCTTGGAGGAAGAGGTGAGTTTTTAGCTGTCCAAGTTTAGTGGGTCCAAGTTCCTGAGATGAGGGGGGAGAGAGTTCCAAAGAGTGGGAGCTTTTAGAGTTTGAATTATGTACAATATTATAGTAAGTCATTGTTATTGAATGATGCATCAGATAATTCTATGTAGTGACATTTGATAATAATATCTCAAAATAAATAAACACTCAACCCAAAATAGATTGGAACCTGCGGCTTATACTCAGGAGCAGCCTATATGTGAACAACATGGACTTTCTCTCTCAATGTGGCTGGTTTGGTTTATGTTAAGGTAGGTTTGATAGTCCAGCAAGTACTCAGCAAGTGTTTTTTTTTTTTTTTTTGTAAAATGTGTGTGATGTTTTTGAATGTATTGTAAGGCGTCCTTGGGTGTCTTGAAAGGCACCATGAAATAAAATGAATTATTATTATTAGTTGTAGTACTGTATATAGATGTAGTAATGACAGATTTCTGCATATACATAAAACCTGTGTTCATAGAAATCTCATTGCTCCAAGAGTTGTATTGTTTTAGAATTAATATCTGATTTTTCAGTTTTAGTCAGACTTTTGTGGTTATTTGTTCTAGTTTTTTTTTCTTTCAGCGACTGACCAAATTAATCTTTTTCATCAGCAATATGTAAGATTTTCCAGTGATCATTAAAGGGCCCTAATCTGTCAAAAGGCATTAATAAATCATGATCTTTTCCAAGACTTCTTTAACTGATAACAGTAGTTCAGAGATATTTGAATTTCTAAATTAGTTTTACAGACCCTAAATCTTGTTATTGTTTTCATTTCTATGTCCCACCCTCCACCGTTTCACCAATCAGAAAGTCCGTGATCCGGGCGCCAGAACTCACCACGTGGAGCTAACCTCACTGGTGAAGTACCATGTGGCCGCAGAACTAAAAAAGCTGTCGTTATGATTCTCAAATCATGAACGACAAAAGAAGGAATAAAACCAGGATTACTATCTTTGTGAAAAAGGTGTTGGTTATAGATTTGTTGTTGACAAAACTCTTGTCTATTCAGCTGTTACGGTCCCAGCTGGATTTGTCTGCATATCTGACAACCTGAGTCAGGGAGAGTGGGAGAGGCTGCAGTACCACTTTTGGCCAGATTTTTACATAATGCCCCTTTAACTTCATTCCCTCCAGCTGTAGTTCATCAGTAAACATTGTTGTTCTGTGTTGTACAGGAGCAGCCAAAGATCATTGAGCCGCTGGACTATGAGAGTGTGGTGTTCCAGAGAAAAGCCCAGATCCACAGTGACCCACACCGAGACCTCCTGCTGTGCCCCGTGGATGATGTGTCGGTAAGACTGTGCAGCACTTTGGAAATGTGATATATTAATAAAGTGGATTGGATTTGACCTTGTGGACCCTCCAGTCGATAGTACAGTATTAGCCTAGCATTAGCCATGTGTAAACTCTGGTCCATGATCATTTCCTACATGTACGGAGAAAGCGATAGTAAAATAATCTGTTCTGGTTCAATCCAAATATCAAGAAACTGAAGCCGGAGCAAGAGGAATGCTAGGCAAATGTCATTGCTGCAAAGATGTTGTGGCTCCACAGGCTCCGTTTGTGGCAAAGGAGATGGCTAAAGCTGGGCAAAATGCTAAAGCTAGGCTAAAGGCTAAAGCTAGTATAGGATAGGATAAACTGTATTAATCATGAAGGAAATTACAGTGGTGCCGGCTAGGATAAATGTTAAAGCTATTCTAAAAACTAAAGGTAGGATAAATGCTAAAGCTAGGCTAAATGCTAAAGGCCTCACTCACTCTGGCTCATTACATACGTCACGGCAAACTCAGATCCAATCATTTCAAACTGCACCTGTTCACTGAGTCAATGGAGCAAATCCAGACCGTAGTACCAAATGCAATTAGTACTATGTTATTAAGACCTGGCTGGTACGGTATATGCTTAGTGTTAGAGTATAACCAAAGAACAGGGTGGTGTCTTGCCATATATGATGTAAAGATCACTTCCACAGGCCACTTCTGTATTTATTAAACAGCACATATGTTTTAGTTTCTCTTGGTTTGTTTTGATACTCTTCTGGTCCATGTTTGACATATATATTCTTTTAATGTCCGTTTTGTGGCGTTCTCCTGCAGGAAACACAGATTTCCCGCCAGAGGAGGACGGTCGTTCCCTCAGTGCCACAGAACGCCGAGCGAGAAGCCAGGAGTCTGTTTGCCAAAGAGGTATTTTCCCATAATTAGCTGTTGCCCAGATTCAGATTCAGATTCAGTTTATTTGCCATTTGCAGTAAAAAAACCACATTGGAATACATTAGCACATTAGCCCAAGTAGTAAACGAAGTTTCTGCAACACAAGCAAATTCAGTTACTCCATGATACAGATCTCAGTCTCTCTAGGTCTAGATCAAGGGATCTAGAGAGATGGTTGAAATGTCATTCTACACAATCATTTTGTATAGCAGGGCATTTAGTACAGCCTTAAATCACAACAGGGCTTGTTGTCTTTACAATGTTGTCAAATCATCAACACAGATCAGAGAATCAAACACCAACACAGAAAATGCAATGATAAAAAAACACAGCCACTGGTCCATAAGGGCCAAAGACCAATGTCCATAAAAAAGTGAATAAAAGATCTAGGACTGAGGCTGTAGATCCAGGACTTAGGTTCTAGAATGAGGACTCAGGCTGTAGAATGAGGACTGGGACTATAGATCCAGGACAGCGGCTGTAGATCCAGATGAGTTGTTACAAACTCTGGCTTGTCTCTGGAAAGTTCTCAGGCCGCACACACGGACCATCATGTACATAACAGATGTCCCGGTCTGGCCCCGCTCACTCAGAGCTCATAAAAAAGACTGATGCAGAATGCAGACTTTACACATGAAAATCTGGTTTTGCTGAGGACAGGTGCCTCTCTGCTCCGTCCTCTCCCCTCATGATTGTGACTGGATCAGCAGGGAACGTATGGGGATATTTACTACTACTCTCCCTAGTCTCTCTCTGGCCTCTCTCTGGTCTCTCTCTGGTCTCTCTCTGGTCTCTCTCTGGCCTCTCTCTGGCCTCTCTCTAGTCTCTCTCCGGTCTCTCTCTCCGGTCTCTCTCTGGTCTCTCTCTCTGGTGTCTCTCTGGTCTCTCTCTGGCCTCTCTCTGGCCTCTCTCTGGCCTCTCTCTGGCCTCTCTCTGGCCTCTCTCTGGCCTCTCTCTAGTCTCTCTCCGGTCTCTCTCTCTGGTGTCTCTCTGGTCTCTCTCTGGTCTCTCTCTGGTCTCTCTCTGGTCTCTCTCTGGTCTCTCTAGCCTCTCTGGTCTCTCTCTCTAGTCTCTCTCCTCTCTCTAGTCTCCCTCTGGTCTCTCTTTGTTCTCTCTGGCCTCTCTCTAGTCTCTCTCTCTCTCTCTCCGGAATCTCTCTTCTCTCTCTCTCTCTTGGTCTTTCCCTCTCTCGCCTCTCTTTGGTCTCTCTCTGGCCTTCCTCTGTGCTTTCTCCTCTTTCTCTAGTCTCACTCTCTCTCTTTTTAGTTTCTCTCTGGACTCTCTGTCTGTCTCTCCTCTCCTCTCTCTGCTTTCTCTCTTTCTCTCTCTAGTCTCTCTCTAGTCTCTCCCTCTCTCTTGCCTTTCTCTGGTCTCTCTCTCTGCTCTCTTCACTCTCTCTCTGCTCTTCTCTCTTGCTCTCTGCTCTCTACTCTCTCTCTTAGTAAAAGCATCGGAGCAGGAGATAAGTCTGGCGGATTTTTAAGGTCACTGGGTTCTGGAGGATTCACATTTCGACTGACTCTAATCCAGATCTGTTTTGGCAGTGCATCAGGATGTACAACACAGACTGGGAGGTCATCAACTACAAATACGAAGCATACTCCGGAGACTTCCGCATGCTGCCCACGTAAGAACCACTACAAAACCATCAGACAAGAACTATAGACCGGTTTAGTTCATTGTTATTGGACAGAGACATTGTACAAAAACACAAATGATTAAACTAGATTTAGTGCTGCTTTTCGTCTCCATGTATTTACTTTAATGTTATTGTGTGTACCTTTCACCAGTGTAATTTTCTTCATGTCTGCCTTGTTGATTCTATTGTTTTGTTCATTTTGAGTTGCATTGTGCATTAACTGTGCTATCAAATAAACGTGCCCTGCTTTGCCGTGAGACAAGGGCAGGTGCGAACACATTTTAAAAGTCCTTACTATAAGACCAGAGAGAGACCAGAGAGAGAGAGAGACCAGAGAGAGAGACCAGAGAGAGAGACCAGAGAGAGAGACCAGAGAGAGAGAGAGACCAGAGAGAGAGAGAGAGAGACCAGAGAGAGAGAGAGAGAGAGAGACCAGAGAGAGAGACCAGAGAGAGAGAGACCAGAGAGAGAGAGAGACCAGAGAGAGAGAGAGACCAGAGAGAGAGAGAGAGACCAGAGAGAGAGAGACCAGAGAGAGAGAGAGACTAGAGAGAGAGAGAGACCGACCAGAGAGAGAGAGAGACCAGAGAGAGACAAGAGCACACAGGGAGCACACACAATATATACAAAATAAGTAGTAGCTATGTTAACTAAGCTAACATAACTAGCTGTAGATGATGAAAATGCTTAAATACAAGTCAATATATATATATATATATATATATATATGTAGTAGTGCAGAGTTATATACTGTACATATAGTGCAGGATAATAAGTAGATAAAGTAGACCAGACCAGAGAGAGACTAGAGAGAAAGACCAGAGAGAGAGACCAAAGAGAGACCAGAAAGAGACCAAAGAGAAACCAGAGAGACAATTATTTGTGACCATAAAATATACCAAAAAAGACATAATGGTGAAGATAAGACAACGACTACTGTTAATTTATTACTATTAATGCCTTTTGACAGATTAGGGCCCTTTAATGGTGACAGATTAGGGCCCTTTAATGATGACTTGACATGAAAATCTTACATATGTGTGTACTCATGTGCATAACTTTTTAAAACATTCTTTCTGAGGTGGCTGCACTGATAATAATTCCAATGAAAAACGAGTGACCGTGTCTTTTCTCTGTCACAGCAAAGGCCTGAAGTCGGACAAGCTCCCGGCACAAGTGTTTGAGATCGATGAGGACGCTAAAGACGAGGTGAGGCTGTTTTAGCTAACATTAAATCTCAGCAGAAGAGTTTGTTGTAGAAGACGCAAAACATTTGTCTTCAATCATTAATTTTATTCTGTTGTTGTGGAGTTTATCATCGGCCTCTCAAATCACACCATTTGATTTGATTTATTCAGAAAGATAGTTTAAGTTTAGGTTGTGGCAGTTTGTGTGAAGTGCTCTGTGTCATTACGGTACTTCACAGCTGTTAAGTAAGTAAGTAATGTTTATTTATATAGCGCCTTTCACAGTCCAGAGTCACAAAGTCGTTTACGATTGTGGGCATTAGTTTCTCACGCCACACAGAGATGGGACCGGGGCCAGTACAGGAGGCACAGACCTATTGTACGTGTTTTTAGTGGTAGGGGAAACCGGAGTACCCGGAGGAGAACATGCAAACTCCACTCAGAAAGGCCCTGTTCCGATCAGGATTTGAACCTGGGACCTTCTTGCTGAGAAGCGAGAGTGCTAACCACTCAGCCTCCGTGCTATTGGGAAAAATTTAGTTGTTTTGAAATAGAGAGACCAAAGACGGAGACCAGAGACGGAGACCAGAGACGGAGACCAGAGACGGAGACCAGAGACGGAGACCAGAGACGGAGACCAGAGGCTACGTTAGCTTAGAGCAGTGCTATTATCTCCACGCGGGACTAAAACACCTACGTCAATGTCATTCACAAGTGGGATGTAGCATAGAGAGTCCAGAGCGAGACCATAGAGAGACCAGAGCGAGACCATAGAGAGACCAGAGCGAGACCATAGAGAGACCATAGAGAGACCATAGAGAGACCATAGAGAGACCATAGAGAGACCATAGAGAGACCAGAGAGACACCAGAGAGACACCAGAGAGAGACCAGAGAGAGACCAGAGAGAGACCAGAGAGAGACCAGAGAGAGACCAGAGAGAGACCAGAGAGAGACCAGAGAGAGACCAGAGAGAGACCATAGAGAGACTATAGAGAGTCCAGAGAGAGATCCTAGAGAGACCCGAGACCATAAATGTTCCTTAATATCTTTAAAATCCCATAATTGAAATTTCCCAGCATTTTGCAACTTTAGTGGGAGTGGGTCGGGATGACTATTGTAATTGCTGGACTATAAGACTGTACTTTTTTTTAGGTCCTTTGGACCCTTGAGCCAAGACCCGCTGCAACATTAACATTTCCGCACTGTGGGGCAAATAAATGTAAAATGTTCTTATCTTTTATCTTAGTATCTTTATTAAATTTCATCAATAAATGATGCAATAAAGAAATGTTGTACTCTCATTGGCAGGGACATGATACATAGATATTTTGTTCATCTTGAGCATCACTCAGTCATAGCACCAGCCCCTCACTGATCCTCCTGCAGGTCTTTCAGCGGGGGCTTCAGGCAAAGTGGGGTAAAGTGTCTTGCACAATGACACAACGACAGGAGACCATTTACTTTGATTAACAATGTCCTCCACCTCCTCTCACCTTTACACTGTGTTCACATCCAAACATGAGTAATGAACATGAGTGTGTGTGTGTGTGTGTGTGTGTGTGTGTGTGTGCGTGTGTGCTGTCACAGGACTCTTCGTCGCTGTGCTCTCAGAGGGGAGGCGTGATGAAGCAGGGCTGGCTGCAGAAGGCCAACATCAACAGCAGTTTGTCTGTGTCCATGAGGGTGAGTCAGCAGCAGCACAACGCACGCCTTTGACATCCCACAAACTAAGTCATTATAAATGTGTGTTTGTAAGTGTAGCACCTTTTACAGACCATAATATCACATTATAAAAATAGAGAGACCATAGCGAGGGCATAGAGAGGCCAGAGAGAGACCAGAGAGAGACAATAGAGAGGCCATAGAGACACTCGAGAGAGACCAGAGAGAGAGACCATAGAGAGACTAGAGAGAGACACTGATACACAAGGAAGAGAGAGACCAGAGCAAATGGATGGATACAAATATACAATACAAACAGTAAAACATACAAGTCATATACAGATATAAAAAACAGAAAAAGGCACTACTCATTTGGAAGCATTTAGAGCAGGGGTAACCTTTTTCTATCAGAGAGCTACTTTTATACAACAGAAGAAGCAGAGAGCTACTTTATACGACAGAAGAGGCAGAGAGCTACTACCTTTTGCACTCATAAGAATCTATGTAATATTTATGACAAAAACATGGAGAACACATGTAAAATATACCATAATACTGTAAAACCCTATATTTATAATTTAAAATTTTTTGGAATGAGAAAATAAATGGCTTTGTCTCCGAGCAGGTTTTCAAACGGCGCTACTTCTACCTGTCCCAGCTTCCCGACGGCTCCTACATTCTCAACTCGTACAAAGACGAGAAGAACTGCAAAGAAACCAAAGGCTCCATCTACCTGGACTCGTGCATCGACGTCATTCAGGTAGAAACAGACTGGACTGGACTGGACTGGGACTGAACTGGGACTTTTATGGGTTTGCTCATGTATTATGGAGGTGTGGGGAGGGTCTGTGTTGCCATGATCCCGAGGCTAAGCTGCAGGTCCTGGATGCTGTGCAGGGGGCCTCTTTCATGGCAGATTTATGAGCTCAGGGCCCTTTATTTCTTTATCTACCCATATTTAACCAGGAAAGTCCCCTTTTCTGGGGAGTCCTGGCTCCAGAGAGAGTCGAGCTATTGTAGATGTTTTTTGAGTGGTAGGGGAAAACCGGAGCATCTGGAGGAAACCTAGGCAGACACAGGGAGGACATGCAAACTCCGCTCAGAGAGGCCACAAGGTTGCATGCTTGTTTGCACTTGGAGAAAGGTTCAACAGTGAGACGGTGACAAAAGCCAGTGAAGAATTTTGGATGCGTCACAATAGTCTTGTGTCTTTTAGACTGAAAACAGAAACGCACACAACAACCCTAACCCTAACCCCACAAAACAATTCAATGTATCTTTGTGTAGCTCTGCATCACAACAGCAGTCGTCTCGAAGGAATTGTTGACTCACCAACACCAATCAGAGGGAATACTTTTTTTTACTAATTAATTAAGGAAATGTAATAATAACAAACGGATAGGAGCCATTGGTCCATACTTGGGATCGGGATTACAATAAATATTAATAAAAGTCCTTTAACCTCCCAGATCATCACTGTCCTTAATCCAGGCATGTCCAAACTCAGGCCTGGGGGCTAATTGCGGCCTCAGTGTCATTGTATGTGGCCCTCTGTCTTGCGAACCCAAAGTAGTCTTTGAGATCATAATCACAAGTTCACTGTGTCCTCCATCCAACTTCAGCTCAGTCAATATAGACCTGTTGTGACTCGTTCTAAAGTCTGGAATTTAGTTGTTGACTTGTGAACACGGTAAACATGTGTCATTCAGCCAACTTCAGCTCCGTTATAGACTATTTTAAACCTCAGAACAGCCCGATGCCAGTCAAGACAGTTTTTCAGTCCGTGATGTCGGACCCTAGACTAGTCTGGTGAACTACAGTGGCCCTCCTGCTAAAACGTTGGGAGACCCCTGCCTTAAATCCTCACTGCACACAACACTCTTTTATTTATTTTTATTGAATTCTTATAAGTCCAGCACACCCCCAAGCTCGCAAGCCCCCGCCGGCGGGGGCAAACGAGAAAAAAAATACATCTGCTGGCAATAGCAGATGTATTTTGAACTTCATATCCACAAGCTATATATCATTTTAAAGCTTATTTTCTCAGCTATATTTATATGTAAGTGTAAACAATATCAGATATACTTTGCATTAAAAAGATATAACGCATAATATGGGCACAAAATAAATCGTGTTTGTATAAGTTTCTCACCTTTCGTCTTCTGCTGCTCCAACAAATTAGACTTTCCCCATCTTTGCTTAGTCTCTTTCTCTCCGTAAGTCTTCATTGAAAAATAATATCTACTTGTATTTCCCAAAGTATAATCCATTCTTCAGAAATAATCCAAAAATGTGCATTTTTCTGTTGCAAAAAAAACGCTCCGAAAAATGTTCAGGCTTCTCTTTCACATTTCACCAAGTTTGAGCTTTGTTTAGCCCCACAAACATCATATCCACGTGTTCCTTGAGTCCTTAGCTTTAAAAAGAGAGGTTCTATGAAAAGATAGGAGCAGTTTTCAGTCCGCAGGACCCTTGTGAAAAAGACAAACCGCATCCACTTGCACAGGGTCCTTGTTGTTGATTAGCATGGCTAGCGCTATGTGCTAGCACTGAATGATTGATGTGTCTAAATAGCCAATAAAAAAAGCTTTCTTTTGATGGGTGGGACTTGTAGGAACTCTTTTCATTTTCACAGTAACAGTGTGCGTAAAGACGCTGTTAGTACTGCTGCGCATATTTCATATGCATATGCAAAAAATGTAAAAGAAAATCACACAGATTTGTAACTTATAAGTACCAAAACTAAAAAATATGCTTTTTATGATGGTGAAATGTTAGTAAAGCAGTTTGGCACAATTTGGCACACATTTTGCCAAATTGGTTCCGAATGGCACTACTTGATAAAAAAGAGAAACTGCATAAAAACTATAAAACTTAGAAGTCTGAAACTTTACACAGTTGTTGTCAACAACACAATGAACAAATTAGCGTTGAAAATTTTCTTCTTCCAATGAAGTAGGCTTTTTTAGGGCATTTATACATTGAATTTTTTAGGCGAGGCTAAAAAAAACAGGTTTTTTTCCCAAACTTCAAAGGATGCAGAGTGAAATAGGAATGACATACATTATTTCAGTGTATATTTACATAAACTAGAAGGGCCTAGCTTTAAAATGATGCATCACACAAGCATGTGAGATGTAAGATGTGTTTTTAAATAAGCAAAGACATTTGGGTATGCCAAACTTTTGTGCACGTGCCAAAACAGATGTAGGAGTTTAAGAGGTTAAGACAAATTTCTTTTTTGTTCTTTTTTATTATTTTGTTTATTTGAGAAGGGATGGATACAGAAAACATAATCCACCTGTGATTAAGTGGTCTGATGTATGTATCATGGTGCCTATAGCCAAGGCTATTGCAGCGCTTGACATGTAACTGTTTTTTAATCTGCTTTTATTATCTGTGATTTTATGTAATTGTGTGTAGCTTTTGCTGCCTCTCGTCCAGGACTCTCTTGAAAAGTCCCATTGCGTCACATATAATGAGCGATACAGAAAGATAGATACTTTATTGATCCCTGTTGGAGAAATGCAGGTGTCCAGTAGCAGCAAAAACACATCCATCCAAACAAACAAAACAAATACATTGATCATTCTAAAAATCTACAATAGTAACAATAAGCAAGAGTCCTTCAGGTCACAGCAGCAGAGGTGGAGCCGCTTGGTTCAGACCATTTTCTCTGCTCTGGTCCAAAGTAAAATGCTGAAGGATTTGTTAGCATTTTTCATAAAGTTAGAATTCCTCCAGTGGATTTTCATCTGATCCACTTGTTTTGGACCATGAATCCTCTCTGCTCCGGTCTGGACCAGTGTAAAACCATGAATCCTCTCTGCTCTGGTCTGGACCAGTGTAAAACACAAAAACAACAACTGTTTTAGAGACACTTGCTGCTGTTTTCCAGAACATTCAAAAGTTTTATGAAATGCTTAATAATTGTGGCTGTGAAAGTGTGTGAGCCTTGCTGCAGTAGAGGAAATGTAATCTATTAGACCCTAAAAACAAAACTGTCTTTTATGACCACAGAGTTCCAAAATGCGGCGGAACTGCTTCGAGCTGAAGATGCAGGAGCGCTACAGTCACTTTCTGGCGGCGGACAGCGAGGCCGAGATGGAGGACTGGGTCTGTACGCTCAGACAGGCTCTGAGCAGCGCGGAGGCGGGGCCTGAGCGCCGGAACGGAGCCGAGACAGACTGCGCCTTGGGTGAGTGTGTGCGTGTGCGTGTGCGTGTACGTGTGAACGTGCGCGTGTGCAGCGGTCTCTGACCATTTTTTAATTGGAGATCTACTCCTTTTAGCAGATGTAAAGAAATTGTAGTCTATATAAAGTATATTTACTACTGCCGATCGTGGAGAACACACATGCATACTATACCACCAGATGAGTTTTGTGTATGTTCAAAACTGTTTATTTTCAGCGTCACACCTAAACATCACAGTAACATTATCCAGACATTTTAATGCATTTAATATTTTAACCTAAAACGCAAACACGATGAGAAAGGACCTACTCAGGAAAGAGGAGGAATAACCAGGAAAATACCCAATGAGATTGAGATCTCTTGTTCAAGGGAGTCTTGGCCAAGAGGTCTGTAGCACACGTCAAGGGCACTTTACAGAACAACAATAAAACAATACAATAATACTACAAAATACAAACAGTGAAATTACAAAACATTTACATAATCCAAAAAACTAAAGGCAACTATATGACAAGTTAAAGTTTAAAAGCATGAGCACTTGGCAATGGTTGAGAGATGTTTTTTAAATAGAAGTAAACAAAATGCGTTTAGCGAAAACAATTTGGACCACTTCAGTTCTGACTGCAGACTGTTGCTGCGGGAGCAGAATAACTAAAGGCCTGCTTTCCCATCTCCGTCCGGACACGTGGAACATTCAGGAGGAAAGAATCATTGGAACGTAAACTGTACAGGCTCTTGGTTCTCTGAAGGAGGGAGCACAGATAGACAGGAACCAAACCAAGAAGAGCTTTGTACACCAACAGCATCTAGTGCTGTTGGTAAGATAAGATAAGATAAGATAAACTTTATTGTCCCAAGGGAAATTTGCTTTAGGATACAGGGCTACAAGAATCTGCATGAATGAAAAAGAAAGAAAAGGAACAATTACAGGAAAGTGCAGTAGTGCATTGAAGTCTCTGGTCAAAAAAAAAAAAATCTTTGAAAATGCAAATACTGGTGTAGAGTATTTGCAACTCACTTTGCACCTGTAAATGATCAAACTGTCCAAGAGATAATCTCCAGTTTGAGCTCCTCCACATGCAGCCTGGATGTACTACCCACTAGATTTCTGAAGTCTGTTCTGAGCAGTCTGTTACCTTCACTCACACAGATAGCAAACATGTCCCTTCATTCTGGAATATTCCCAAAGGCCTTGAAAACTGCAGTCATCAGGCCCTTGCTAAAAAAGAGCAGTCTCGATGCTACGGTACTTAACAACTATCGTCCCATCTCAAATCTGCCATTTATGGTTAAAGTCCTTGAAGAAGTTGTCTACCTACAGCTTACTAGATTTCTTATAATCAACAACTAATTTGATATGTTTCAGTCCGGCTTTAGACCCCACCACAGCACTGAGACTGCTCTCGTCAAGGTAACAAACGATATCCGGCTGAACACTGACGCAGGCCAAGTCTCAATCTTAATCTTGTTAGATCTGAGTGCTGCCTTTGATACCGTCGACCATGAGATCCTCTTACAGAGACTAGAGGACTGGGTTGCCGTCGCTGGCACCGCCCTAAGTTGGTTTAGGTCTTACCTTGAAGACAGGAAGTACTTTGTGGAGATTGGAAACTGTGTCTCAGATCATATGGCCCTGACCTGTGGAGTACCACAGGGGTCAATCCTGGGACCTCTTCTGTTCAATCTCTACATGCTGCCGTTAGGTCAGTTAATACGCAGAAACGAAGTGTCCTATCATAACTATGCAGATGACACTCATATCTATGTCTCACTGACTGCAGGAGAACATGGACCAGTGGACTCACTCCTTCACTGTATCCAACAGATCAGTGAGTGGATGCAAAACAACTTCCTTCAGCTAAACGCAGACAAAACTGAAATGATTGTCTTTGGTCCCCAGAAACAAAGAGAGAGCGTCATCTGTCACCTCCAGTCTCTCTCCCTAAAACCTTCAAACAAGGTCAGAAATCTAGGGGTAATACTGGACTCAGACTTAAATTTTAATAGCCACATCAAATCAGTAACATCAGCAGCTTTTTACCATCTAAAAAACATTGCCAGGATCAAAAACATAGTGTCTAAAGCAGACTTGGAGATTCTTATCCATGCATTTGTCTCCAGTAGGTTAGACTACTGCAATGGCCTGCTCACAGGTCTGTCCAAACAGGCTGTAAAACAGCTGCAGTACATTCAAAATGCAGCAGCTCGAGTCCTGACTAGAACCAGGAAGTACGACCACATTAGTCCAGTCCTCAGGTCTCTGCACTGGCTTCCTGTGGCTCAGAGAATAGACTTTAAAACAGCTCTGCTTGTGTACAAGTCTCTCCATGGCCTCGCACCAAAATATATTAGTGACATGTTAGTCCCATATGAACCAGCCCGGACTCTGAGGAGCACAGGGACTGGACTCCTGTTAGTGCCCAGAGTCAGGACTAAACATGGGGAGGCAGCTTTTCAGATTCATGCTGCTAAAATCTGGAACAGTCTTCCTGAAGATGTGAGACAGGCCTCCTCAATGACAATGTTTAAAACCAGGTTAAAAACAGTTCTGTTTAGCTGTGCATACAACTGAGGGATTTTATATTTTTAGATTTCTTTTTAATGTTCTGTGATTTATTTATGATTTTAATGCTTTCTTATTTTGTTCAGCACTTTGAATTGCCTTGTGTATGAATTGTGCTATACAAATAAACTTGCCTTGCCTTGCCTATTCTCATTGTATAATGTTTTCTGATCGAACACATAAATATCAATCACTACTGATTTTATACATACACTAGTACAAGACAGTTCTTGTATTGGATTGATGGCAAAACCAGAATATAATCAATAGGCTTTGTTTTATCTTAATATTATTTTAACATGTCTTTCTACATTGAGCCAAGTCAAATTTCTCCATGTTACCCTCATGTCTCTAAATACCTGTAGTTGTAACCTTGTATAGCTGAGGTTTAGGCACTAAGAGAGCAGGGTTTTTAAGGTTCATAGTACGTTGGTTGTCATCAGAAAAGCTCCCGCTCAGTGTTGAACTGGAGAGTGCTAATCCGGTCCAGAGTCTAATAAAGAGCCTCTGGGGAAACATGAGAGACTTCTGCAGCTTTGACTGATTTGACTCGATTAACCTCGGTCCTGGTTCTTCTCAGATGACGACAGCAGCAGCCAGGGAAAAGGGGAGGGTCTGCTGGAGAACCTCGGGAGGAGCCTACACCCGGAGCTCATGAAGGTATCCTGCTTAGATCATAGACTGTACAAATGGACAATGCTAACCTGCTAGCTTAAGTTGCTCTAGCTCCTTTTGACTTACATTGAAAAGTAAACTCCTCTTGTTCAACTGTTTGTGTCGCTCTCACCATTTTTGAAAATTCAGATATGTAAGTAGCCATAACCTAAAATACAAACATAATTAGAAATGATCTACTTAGGAACGAGTAGGAACCAATTAAACATTTCTATATCAATCACGTGTAAATGTAGTTGTAGTTTAGCAATGGCGTTCAGGTTCAATCCAAATGCCAAGAAATTGAAGCCGGAGCAAGAGGAATGTTTAGGAAATATCTTTGCTGCAAAGATGTTGTGGCTCTACTTCTTACGGGCTCCATTAGTGGCAAAGGGGATGGCTAAAGTTAGGCTAAATGCTAAAGCTAGGCTAAATGTTAAAGCTAGTGACTCACTCAGGTGCATTAAATACGTCACTGTAAACTCAGATCCAATGGTTTAAATCTGCAAAAGAAGTTAACCCCTCCCACTTGTTTAAGGAGTCAATGGAGCAAATCAGACCTTAGTACGAAATGAAATGAGTACGATGGTATGGTAAGACCAGGCTGGATGTTGTAAAAGCATAAATGTTATTGTTTTGCTCTTTCACTTCCACTCTTCTCGACCTGTTCTCTTCCTGAAGCAGACAGTAGTGTGCGTCCAACAGAGACGGTTGCTGTAAAATGTGTGTAAATTGTGCGTTCCACACAGAGAACAAAGCTGTTGCAGAGGGAGGCAGAGGGGAAAGGCCTTTCACCCGAGGCTTTCATGTCTTTGTCTATCTCCTCGTGGAATAATCTCGTGTCTGCTCCTCTCCAGTTTATGCCTTTCTAGTAAAGAACAACAAGCTGTGACTGGGGGATCTGACGCTGATTTCATAATAATAATGATAATAATAATGCATCGGTTTTAGATGGAGATTTCTTTGGATACTTAAAGATGCTTCGGTCCATACACAGTGGTGATAATCTGTTACCATAGCTATAGAAGAGCAAGAGAGAGAGACCAGAGAGAGACCAGAGAGAGAGATCAAAGAGAGACAAGTGAGAGTCCAGAGAGAGACCAGAGAGAGAGATCAAAGAGAGACAATTGAGAGTCCAGAGAGAGACCAAAGAGAGAGACCAGAGAGAGACCAAAGAAAGACCAAAGAGAGATCAGAGAGAGACAAGAGAGAGTAATCACAGAGGGACAAGAGATGGACCCGAAAGAGACGCCAAAGAGAGAGACCAGAGAAATAGAACACAGAGTCAAACAGTATGATTTTTACTGGTTCAAATGTATATGCTTTCAAACACAGTTAATTGAATGTAGTCTGTGTGTCTGTGCTCCTGTGTTTTTGCAGTACGCCAGAGAGACAGACCAGTTCAATAAGATGAGCCGGAGCGAGGGCAGACAGAAGCTGTTCTCTCTCGACCCGGAGACACAGGTACGATGTTTTATTCATCTCCTGACTGATTTTCTCTGGTCATTATTACTTCTACTCTTCCTCATCTCCTTGTTTCCCCTTTTCAGAGGCTGGACTTCTCTGGGATCGAGCCCGAAGTGAAGCCTTTCGAAGAGCGGTTTGGTCGCCGCATCATGGTCAGCTGCCACGACCTGAGCTTCAGTCTGCAGGGCTGCGTCAGCGAGAGAGCCGACGGCGTTCTCACCAACGTGTGTAAATCTATTGGTTTATTCACTGACAGAACGATAGATTTATGTTACATGTGTGTCAGGAGCAGTTTGTCTGACTCTTACTCATAGGCTTTCATTTAGGATTAAGGGTCTTGTTCATTAAAAAACAAGACCAAGAAACAAGACAGACTAGAGTAAAAGATCATAGAGAGACGAGAGAGAGACAGACCAGAGACAGACCAGAGACAGACCAGAGACAGACCAGAGACAGACCAGAGACAGACCAGAGACAGACCAGAGACAGACCAGAGACAGACCAGAGACAGACCAGAGACAGACCAGAGAAAAAGATCATAGCGAGAACGACAAGAGAGAGAGACCAAAGAGAGACGAGAGATAGACCCAAGAGAGACCAGGGAGAGAGAGAGAGAGACCAGACAAAAAGACTAGAGTAAAAGACCGCAGAGAGAAAGCCAAGAGAAAGAGACCAGAGAGAGACCAGAGAGAGACCAGAAAGAGACCAGAGATAGGCCAGATAGACCAAGAAGAGCCAAAATGCAGAGGAGGCCGGTTTCAACATCAGCTAGCTGGAGTCAATTTCCTTATATGGGCATGTCTTAGCGGGTTAGCTTTGTGAATAACAGGGGCAGACTTGTTGCTAAGATGGTTGCTAAGGAAAGCTGGAGTTTCCCCATGCGAATGCAGGCATCTGATTGGCTCATATCTGGATTTACAAAGACAATATAAAACATATAAACCCTAGCAGAGAGAGCACTAAACCATGTGCACTCCCCTTTTGGGTTTCAATAAGATAGTGGGTTAGCATTGTCCAAGTATATACAGCCTATGCTCCTATTCAAATATTTATATATATATATATATATATATAGGTAATTATAATAGATTTATATTAAAATGCAATAGTGCAATATTGCAAACTTCAGGGTCGGAGATCCTAGAAAGCGAAAGCAGAACTATACATTATTAAGACTTTTTCGACACAACACACACATCCTTTCCTCTTTTGCCCCAGATATTAGTCTTCCATAATTCATGTCTGGCTGAATCTTAGTCCGAGCGGCAGCTGTAGTGCAGAGTCCACATGGTCTAGGCCAGCCATTCCCAAACTCAGTAACACCGAGGCCCCCTTAAAAATCTGACGGGTCTGCGTGGCCCCCCAAAATAATAACCAAGAAGACAACATTAAGAATAGGCTCTTCTGGTTATTTTATTTTGGGGAAATAGCCTCTGCTACAAACATTGTAATACAAAAAATGATTACAGTGGATTATTCAAGTCAAATAATGAACACAAATATTTTAATATTACAAACAAAACATTATAAATTGGACATTAAATAATTATATATATATATATATATTTTTTTTTTTATGACCTCCCGCGGCCCCCCTGCAGTACCCTCGCGGCCCACCAGGGGGCCGCGGACCCCACTTTGGGAGACACTGGTCTAGGCAATTTAGTAATAATACACACGCACGCACACACACACACAAATGTTAGCCTAAAGAAGAAGCAAGAGTTAAGTAATGTAGTATATTTTGTGCCAAGGACTCCAAGAAACTAACCTTGCCTGCAAGCTGAATTGTTGCAGTATTGAGTTCACAAACTCATGAGAATAAATCTTGTACTGCTGCCGTCTACACTTTTGGAGTAGAACATTTATGTGTTCTACCCAATCATGGGTCAGTCTTGAAGTTTAGGGCGGGATATCCGGGTTTGTCGAAAGCGAGCGAACAAACACGGCCCCCCAGCAGGACGGATGCTGAGGCTATTAAGTCAGTTTTAGCGTAATCTCCCATGTCTATTTTGAAAGATGTTGTGTTGTGTTGGCGAGGCCTTTACTCGAGGCAGTCATAATCCAAATAGACCAAGTTTAGTCCAACCCAACTGGTTGTAGTTTTGTGTTGTTACCGTGATTGGCTTAAGTCAAACCATAGTAGGCGGGCCAACAGCATCACTTCATCCAAGCAGCCTGAAGTATTCTGCTGCATGCCCCTTCTCCTGCAGAAGTCCCAGATTGATATTGTGGAGAACTCATTTGAGTCGTACACAATCATCAAATCTGGGTTTTACCTGGTTACCATGAAACAGTGACGTTAGTGTTCTTGACTCAGCACTTTTGAGTTAGATAGATAGATACTTTAATGATCCCTGTAGGTGTCCAGTGGCAGCAAAAACACATCCATCTAAACAAACAAAACAAATAAATAGATAATTCTAAAAACATAATAAAAGTAATAATAATAATAATGATAATAACGGTCCTTCAGGTCTGGTCTGGACCAGTGTAAAACCTTGAACAGTGTACTGCAGCAACATCTCAGGTAGAAAAAAGAAGAAAAATAACAAAGGTAAAACACAGAGTTGTTCCTCTATCGCTTCTCTTCAATCATAAAACCTCATCATGACCCTGCTGCTGCTGACACTGAACAGAACGGCCTCTTTCTCGTGGTCAGGAAGCTTCCTCTCACATCTCACCTCACTTTGAATGTTTTATGTACACACTTTGACACTAACCACTCAGCGGAAATGAGCAGCATAATGCACACTTTGTTCCACTGTAAAGAAATTACTTTTAAGACAGGGACTGATTGATTCCACCAGGCGGATGGAGTTCGACTTTGAGAGCTATTGTTGTCTTTGTAACTGTAGCTACAGATGGTACTGATGCTACTGATGCTTCTGATGCTACTGATGGTGCAGATGCTACTGGTGCTACGCTCTATGCTCTATGGTCCATGGTCTATGGTCTCTGGTCTCTGGTCCTTGCCCTATGCTCTATGCTCTATGCTCTATGCTTTATGCTCTATGGTCTACGGTCTCTGGTCTTTGCTCTATGCTCTATGGTCTCTGGTCTATGGTCTATGCTCTGCGGTCTCTGGTCTATGGTGTCTGGTCTCTGGTCCCTAGTATATGGTATCTGGTCGCTAGTCTATGGTCTCTGGTCTCTTGTCTCTGGTCCCTAGTCTATGGTCTATGGTCTATGGTCTCTGGTCTCTGGTTCATCAAGGCTCTTTTATTTCCTGATCCTGCTCTTCGTCTCTTCCAGGTGGAGCCGTTCTTCATCACCCTCGCTCTGTTCGACGTCTCCAAGAACTGCAAGATCTCGGCCGACTTCCACGTGGACCTGAACCCGGCGGTCGTGAGGGACATGCTAACCGATGCCTCCGGCCAGCCCTCCCCCTCCCCCTCCTCCGACTCCTCAGAGGGGGGAGGAGGGGTAGGAGCAGCCGCTATGGTGAACGGAGGCAGTGGGAGCGGGCTGCCTGTGGTGCAGAGGGCGTCAGAGGCCGTGCTGAGGTTCCCCACACAGGTACAGGCCTCGACACGCTCCGGGACACGTCTGTGAGGGTTGAAAAATGTGTCCGATCAAAGACAGATAACACGTGTGAGATACAAGGCCATTCTTAGGCAATTATTTAATAACATTTCATTTAACTGCAAAATAATGTGTTTAGTCTCAAATTAAACAAAGGAGATGGCTTCTTTCTATGTCTATTTTCAGCCACAGGATCTCATCCAGACTTGTTTAGATATTAAAAATTATTCATCAAACCATTTCTTCTTAAAGAGGGTGGTTAACTACATAAAGACGTTCCTATCACACGCTAAAGATAGCATTAGAGGCCCCATTATACATGGAAAATATGGTTAGAGGCCCCAGTGTACTTGTAAAAGGGGTTAGAGGCCCAATTATACATTATAAATTGGATTAGAGGCCCCATTATACATGAAAAATAGGGTTAGAGGCCCAATTGTACATGAAAAATAGGGTTAGAGGCCCAAGTATAAACAAAACACATGGTTAGATGCCATTGTGTAAGTATAAGAACCTACACAAATAAGGAAATCACAAGTGGTTATTATATAATATTTTAACGCTTGATAATGTGATTTTATCTTTTGTTTATCACTTTGTGTACGAACTGTGCTGTACAAAAACTAACTTGCCTTCATTGGAGCCAGTCATCGGGTGAATTTAAACCAGAGCAGTGAAACTTCTGGTGGTTTCCTGCTACAGCTGACAGACCCACTTCCCCCACGCTCGCCTTGTAAAACCAGCCCGACCATAACTACTACCTCCTCACCTAATTTCGTTCTGTCCACCAGGGAATCTTCTCCGTGACCCACCCTCACTCCAACATCTTCCTGGTGGCACGAGTGGAGAAAGTCCTGCAGAACGGGATCACCCACTGTGCAGAGCCGTACATCAAGACCTCAGACACTACCAAGGTCCTAATGTACTTAAGACAATGTTAGCATAGGTTTTAGACAACACCTCAGTAAACAGAATTTGTATTGTGAAAAATAGAAAAAAAGAAAAAATAAACAAAAAGAAAAAATGTGCAATAAACACACGACAAAAAAACCTTCCCAGATTTTAATTGACACACACTTAGCCACACATCTTAAAATTATATTGGATAACATCCAAAAAAAATACACATGTCATATAGGTATAGTTTTACAGCAGTAGGTTATAAGTAGTCCTAAGCGTCATTTGTTAAAGAAGCAATATGTAAAAATCTGGCCAAAGGTGGTACTGCAGCCTCTCCCACTCTCTCTGACTCAGGTTGCCAGATAAGCAGACAAATCCAGCTGGGACTATAACAGCTGAAAAGAGTTTTGTCAACAACAAATCTATAACAACACCTTTTTCACAAAGATAGAAATCTTGGTTTTATTCCTTGTTTTGTCGTTAATGATTTTAGAATCATAACGAGACCTTTTTTAGTTCTGTGGCCACATGGTACTTTACCAGTGAGATTAGCTCCACGCGGTGAGTTCTGGCGCCCGGATCACAGACTTTCTGATTGGTAAAACAGTAGAGGGCGGGACATCAAAATGAAAACAAGTAAAACTAAAACTAAATTTGAAATTTTATCTCGGCTGAACCACTGTTATCAGTTAAATAAGTATTGGAAAAGACCATGATTTATTAATGCCTTTTGATATATTTAATTTAATGACGACTTGACATGAGAATCTTACATATTGCTACTTTAAAATTACTAATGAATAACATACAAAAAAACACATATCATATAGATATAGTTTTACAGCAGTAAGTCATGAGTCGTCCTCAGCGTCATTTGTTAAACTGAGATTTTCACCAAATTCTAACAATGCATTTTTAATTCTTTTTCCTTCGTCTTTCTTTGCAGACGGCTCAGAAGGTGCTAAAATCAGCCAAACAGACGTGCCAGCGCCTGGGCCAGTACAGGATGCCTTTCGCCTGGGCTGCCAAGTACGACAAGGACCATCTGACTCACAATACGGCAAAGAATAAATGAATCTGAGCCCCATGTAGAAGAAACTCTTCATTGTGTTATTGGCAATGGGCAGATTGTCACATTCAAAACACAGTAACCAGGGTGTGGTTAAAGGGGACAGTTTAAAGAAAACAAAAAACAATTGACAAAGTGTAAATTTTAGGGCCTTTTATAGATGACAGATTAGGGTCCTTTAATGATGACAGATTAGGGCCCTTTAATGATGACAGATTAGGGCCCTTTAAAGATGACAGATTAGGGCCCTTAAAATGATGACAGATTAGGGCCCTTTAAAGATGACAGATTAGCGCCCTTTAATGACGACAGATTATGGCCCTTTAATGATGACAGATTAGGGCTCTTTAATGATGACAAATTAGGGCCCTTAAAATGATGACAGATTAGGGCCCTTTAAAGATGACAGATTAGGGCCCTTTAATGATGACAGATTAGCGCCCTTTAATGACGACAGATTATGGCCCTTTAATGATGACAGATTAGGGCCCTTTAATGACAACAGATTAGATGACGCCCTAGGGCGATAGTGGCTCAGTTGGTAGAGCATTGGCCTTTGAGCCTGAAGGGCGTGGGTTTGAGCCCACCATAAGACCTACTTCACGACTCCCACTGATGACAGCTGTCGTTGTGTCCTTGGGCAAGACACTTAACCCCACTTTGCCTGAAGCCCCCGCTCAAAGATCTCAGCTTCTGTGGGCTCACCACCTGCAGGAGGATCAGTGAGGGGCTGGTGCTTTGTGTACTGGGTGCAGCTCTGACTGCCACACCCCCCGACCCAGAAATGGATAAAGAGGAAGAAAATGGATGGATGGATGATTAGGGCCCTTTAATGATGACAGATTAGGGCCTTGATGGTGCTGCTATATGATCATAATAATGCTGGGTTAGGTATGTTTGATTTTATGACATTATCCATTTGTGTGTGTTGCAGGCAGGTTTTCAAAGACGCTCAGGGCAGTTTGGACATGGATGGGAAGTTCTCTCCGTTGTACCGACAGGACAGCAGCAGGATCTCCTCCGAGGACCTGCTGAAGCTTCTGGCCGACATCAAGAAGTCTGTTCTGAAGTGGTTTTTAGCACATTCAGACTAAACTCCTGAGACTGAAAACCCTCCGTGTGTATTTACAGGCCCGAGAAAAGCAAATCTCAGACTATCCCAGGACAACTGAATGTCATCATTGAATGTGTACCTCCAGATTTCTCAAGTAAGCCTCGAAGTCTTAAGGTCCCATATTTCGCTCTTCTTCATGTTTCACCGTCCATACAAAGCACATGTGTAGATAGATAGATAGATTCTTTATTGATCCCCGTAGGAGAAAGTCAGGTGTCCAGTAGCAGCAAAAATAAAATTGATTATTCTAAAAAGTTAATAATAGTATTGATCAGCCACAGGCCTTCAGGCCTTCAGGAGGACGGGTCACAAGGTGGAGTAGCCGCTTGGTTTGGACCATTTTCTCTGCTCTAGTCCAAAGTAAAATGCTAAATGCTTCATTAGCATTTTTCAAAAAAGTCAGCATTCCTCCAGTGGATTTTCATCTGATCTACTTGTTTTGGACCATGAATCCTCTCTGCTCCGGTCTGGACCAATGTAAAACCATGAATCCTCTCTGCTCTGGTCTGGACCAGTGTAAAACCATGAACACTGTACTGCAGCAACATCTCAGGCAGAAAAAAGCAAGAAAAATGAAAACTATAAAGCACAAAACAACTGTTTCAGAGACACTTAGGACTTGCAGTCATTTTCGAGCGCATTCAAAAGTGTGATAATAATTGGATTGATAAATTGGATTGATCATGCGACACTCAAAAGCAGTTTCAAAAGCAGCTTGGTGAAGTACAAAGTCCGCTAGAAAATCAGCATTTGCCTTTGGGCCGTCACATTTTAGTCTTACTTTGTAGACAGGGAAGTATAGAAATGTTCCCATTGTTTCCTTGAGGATTCGTTGGTAGAAATTAATCTTCGGCATCTTCTCAAGTCATTTTCAATCATTTTCTGCATTTGCGCTCCGTTTGCATGACAGACAAAGCGCACGGACAAAGACAAGACAGGTACATATCAACTAGTCTAAGGTAAGGTAAGAACATATGTCAGTATGTAAAAGCGGTGGCCTATTCCTTTAAAGTAGCCATATGTAAAAATGTGGCCAAAAGTGGTACTGCAGCCTCTCCCACTCTCCCTGACTCAGGTTGCCTTTGGGCCGTCACTTATTTACACCCAAAAATGCATTTTCTACAAGTTGGCACGATGCTAACACTTTTAGTCGGAGACAATAGCCAACCTTTTTTAGTTCTGAGGCCACATGGTACTTTACCAGTGAGATTAGCTCGACGTAGTGAGGACTGGCGCCTGGATCACAAACTTTCTGATTGGTGAAACGGTGGAGGGCGGGACATCGAAATGAAAACAATAACAAGATTTAGGGGCTGGAAAAATAATTTAGAAATTCAAATATCTCTGAACTACTGTTATTAGTTATAGAAGAATATTAATGCTTATTGAAAGATTAGGGCCTTTTAATGATGACTTGACAAGAAAGTTTTAAAGCAGAGAAAAGTCAAAAAGCTTACTATGGGACCTTTACTTTTTTACAAATTGATAAATTTTCTCTCCATTAGACACCGTCACCTCGTCCTACATCCCCGTGAAGCCGTTTGAGGAGGGCTGTGAGCGCATGTCTGTGGAGGTGGAGGAGTTTTTACCCGAAGAAGCCAAATACAACTTCCCTTTTACAAGCTACAAGAACCAGCTGTACGTCTACCCCCTGCAGCTCAAGTACGACAACCAGAAGACGTTCACCAAGGTCTGTGCCGTCGCCTCTGCCTCTAAACACAAACCCGACAGACTGATGGACAGAACCACACAAACCCGACAGACTGAGGACAGAACCACACAAACCCGACAGACTGATGGACAGAACCACACAAACCCGACAGACTGATGGACAGAACCACACAAACCCGACAGACTGATGGACAGAACCACACAAACCCGACAGACTGAGGACAGAACCACACAAACCCGACAGACGGATGGACAGAATCACTCTCGCTGATTGCCTTCCCAGCTGCCTGCATTGATTTTGTGTTTTTTTCTTCTTCTCCTGCTCTAGGCACGAAACATAGCTGTGTGTGTTCAGTTTAAAGACTCGGATGAAGAAGGAACAACCCCTTTAAAGGTGAGGTTTGTTCAGAAAAATCAAATCATTTATATTTTGCGTGAAAGACTTGGCTTTTGGGTTGGTACTGACTAAAGCTGCTGTTTTTATTGGTTTCTATCCATCACAGTCAACTCCCGTACACTGTGAAAACTATATGCAAATAGTTACACACATTTTGGCCTATAGGTACATTACGTGTGCAAAAAATAAATACATAAAAATCAATGAAATATTAAAGTATTTGTAGCTTTGTTTTTTTTACTTATTTGGTCTCTCTCTTGAATCTCTTTGAATCTACTCTCTCTCAAAGCCACAAAAGTTTGGTTCTGACTTTATATAAAACTAATAGCGGGAAGTTTTTCTTCCTCCCACTGCATTTCGAGCTCATGGAGCAATTTGTGTATGACATCAATAATGGCTTTGTAAATATGTAAAGCTGCATCAGTGATGTGGGTTGTATATATCTGTTGGTGTGGTCTGTCCACTGGTGCACCATTGTCATTTGGATGCATGTTGTATGTACAAATGTGTACTGTTATAAGCTCAAAAGGAACAAATAAAAATAAAAAATAAAAATAATAAGCAAATACATACAGTACACACTTTTGCCTATAAGTACCATACATATGCCAGAAATAAATACATAAAAATCAATGAAATATAACAGTGTTTGCAACATACGTACGAGTGGTAGTTAAAGTGATAGCCTGTAACGCTAAATGAATTACAAATTTTAGGAAATGTGTAAAATTGACCTCCTGGCCTTAAATGTTGATATAAAATAAGTCATTTTATTAATTCTAATATTACGGGCAAGTCCCGCCTTCCCTTCTCTTAGCCATAGCTCAGAATCCACGATGCCGTCCAGTTTAACCAATCGAGTCATGCCCAGGGCTGTCAATCATCGGCGCTGATACTCGTAGCGGCACGCATGCTCAGTTGTTTGTTTTCGCGGAACCTCCGAATCAAGCAACCATTAGGCTCTGGAACTACATGAAAACTGAACTAAGAATTCTGAACTTCCGCGCTGAGTTACTTATGTATATACTGAACCTATATCCATAATCAGATCCTCTGCAGATGTGTCCTATAATGTGCAATTCATGATAATAGATCGCTTTTTTTGTCCATAAAAACATTGGGGTTTTTTTTCATTAAAACGCTAACAAATAATTCTGAAAACCTCCGTGCATGTGTATTAATAATGTAAATTTATAATGTGTTCTCTGATTAACATTTAAATGTGTTACGGAAATGTAGGCGTAGACCAATCAGAAAGGAAGGGGAAGGGAGCTTGCGTGGTTTTTTTCAAATCAAGCACCTCTCTCTCTCTTTCTGACAAACTCCAGACAATCACTTTATGTAGCTTTTCCATGGAAGAAAATATATTTTTTACTTATTTGGCCTTTCTCTGTTGTCAGTTTGAATCTGAGATAAGAAAAGATGGAGAAATGTCACATTTGGCTCAGATTTTTGCAAAAAACAGAAGTGGTCATAAAAGAAAAGAGTGGCAATAGCAGCAGGTTTTTTCAGTACTGGTGCATTAGTGACTTCTAGTTGTTGTTGGAGTATAGATGTGGTGCATGAGAAGTACACTGTAAAAAATAAATCATAATAAGCCGCTCACAAAAAATTGCAAAACAGCGACGCAGCCAAAGTTGAACCACATTATTGTGAGGGACCACTGTACAAGACAATTTTTATGGACAGTTTTGAAATGGGGTTATGGTCTACTGTTTCACCAATCAGAAAGTCCGTGATCTGGGCGCCAGAACCCACCGCGTGGAGCTAATCTCACTGGTAAAGTACCATGTGGCCACAGAACTAAAAAAGGTCTCATTATGATTCTCAAATCATTAACGACAAAACAAGGAATAAAACCAGGATTTCTATCTTTGTGAAAAAGGTGTTGGTTATAGATTTGTTGTTGACAAAACTCTTTATTCACCTGTAATGGTCCCAGCTGGATTCGTCTGCATATCTGGGAGAGTGGGAGAGGCTGCAGTACCACCTTTGGACACATTTTTACTTACACACACCCGCACGCACACACACGCACTCACTAAATACTTGTGGCTGGAAACCGTCCTCTCTTAGACCTCGATGGATTGTTTTGCTTTCCACTTTTGCAGCTCATGGAAACTGAAAAAAAGTTTTGAGCCTGACGCTGATGGTAAAACACTGATGCCTCTGATGCAGACTGTCCACAGGGAGAACATTCAAACATCTCTGAGGAATCCTAGTTATGATCTTTGTATTAAATGAGCCGTGGGAGGGAGTGGGTTTACTCACAATGAGCAGCAGAGGCCTCAGGAGATGGGATCAGCTCAGGGGGGAGAGGGGGGAGAGGGGGGAAAGGGGACGGAGGATGTGGGGGAGAAGTAATTATACTTTAGGAGGTTAAGACCAGTCAAAACAAATAAACAACAACACTGCTTTGAACTGATTTATTAGGGTATTTTTTTATTCTGTTGCGTCACATCTATGGTTGTTTTGTCGTCATCTAATTCGGTATTGAAGTAATCGTTTTTTAATGTTGCATAGACTTAAACAGGCTGAGAAAAGGTTTTATGACTCCAATAATTCTGGAATGACTTCAGAATGAATTGTCCATTCATCCATCCATTTTCTACCCTTTAATCCATTTCTGGGTCAGGGGGGTGGCAGTCAGAGATGCCACCCAAGTCTCATAGCACCAGCCCCTCACTGACCCTCTGCAGGTGGTGAGTCCACAGGAGGACGGCTGCTCTCTGAGTGTGAGCATAGCCTTGATCTTTCAGTGGGGGCTTTGGGCAAAGTGGGGTTAAGTGTCTTGCCCAAGGACACAACGACAGCAGTCATCAGTGGGAGTCAGTGGAGAAGGTGCAGAGGTGGGAATTGAATGAATGCATTGTTTTTGAAGTAATTTTAATCAAGCAACTCTATGTCTATCAAGTAATACCTTGTAGCTAAAATAAAACTGTAAAATGTGACTAAATATCATGTTCATAATTCTCACAGACAACGCAGGATCCAAACAACGAATTCATTTTCATAATTCACATATTTGTACAGCCCCCAATCATAAGAGCCATCGTCTCGAGGGAGTTGTCGATTCGCCCATAACAGATTGTTTGAACACAGTAAATAGTAACAAACACTTATGACCACAAATGTAAATAAATGTCCATAAATGTTCCGGATCATTCCATATCCTCTAGAACATGTCAACACTAAATACAGACAGTATCTGTATTTTGCCTATTTGACCTTGTCGTTACACAGTGGCTGTATGAGTGGTTAGCATGGAGAGTTTTCCATGTTCTCCCCGCGTCTGCTCCGGTTTCCTCCTAGTGCTCCGGTTTCCTCCTGGTGCTTCGGTCTCTCCTACCACTAAAAACATGTCCAATAGGTCTGGCATGAGCATTGTTTCAGGGTCAAATATTGCCCGGTCTTACCATACCATTGTACTCATTTAATTTCGTGCTAAGGTCTGAAGGTGAGCTCTGTTAACAGGTGGAAGGGGTTAACCCCTTTAGCAGATTGAAACGATTGGATCTGAGTTTACCGTGACGTATGTAATGCGCCAAGTGAGTCGTTAGCATTTAGCATTTACCCTAGCTTTAGCCATCTCCTTTGCTGCTAACGGAGCCCGTGAGAAGTAGCGCCACAATCTTTGCAGAAATTACATTTGCTAAATATTCCTCTTGCTCCGGCTTCAATTTCTTGATAGAACCAGACCCGATTACTTTATTATCGCATTCTTCACCATTGCCAAACTACAATCTGCCCGTTGAGTGCAAACTATTGATGTCACCCACAACTAACTACAAGACCCGCCTCCTGCGCTCTCTGATTGGCCGGATGGAATTCAATCGATTGTAATCGCAAACACTGGGACCAGACCCAGATGTTACATGCAGGAAATGATGATTGACCGGAGAGTTCGGATGGATAAGGCCAGGATAGGTCAAATCTGCAAGGTTAAATATGCAAAAATATCAACTTATTTCACATACAAAATTGCACAGTGCAGCTTTAAAGAAAACTATCTGTGAATGGGAGTGAATAGTTTAGAATGATCAAACATTAACACTGTATTTAGTCACACAACTCATGGTACTTCGGCCTCTCATTAAACAGAACAACTTGTATCTTGATTTAAAACATATTTTTCCTTTCACGTTTGTTGTTTTCTTTGTGTATGTTTTAAGTCTTCTGTCCTCATCGTGGCTCAGTTTATCAGGTTCACATCAGACTTCCTCTCACTGATGTATCTCTCTCCTGTGATGGTGGCAGTCAAACCAAACCCTTTAGAATCTGACTTTGAATCTGCAAAACAGTTAGTGAACCCAGGCTGTTCTGTTCCATATCAGACATTCTCTTGTTGCTTTCAAAACCAAAACAGTTAAAAAAATATATATATGTATTATTGTCAAAAAATTTAATATCAAAACATGACTTCATTTTAAGGCCAGAAAAAATAAAAAAATGATCAACATTAGGAGATAATATTGTTATGATTTCTCTATGATTTTTCTATGGTTTCTCTATGAAACTATTTACTTTGTCATTTCATCTTTTAGAATTTTAAATGAATGTATATTTAGTAAAAAATACACAATGAAACAAGTATCAACGGGAAATAATGCTTTTGGCCTGTGCTGTCCCTATATTACCACCAGGGGGACGGGTAGAATTTATGACTTTTTTTTCCAAATTCGAAAATGACCAGCTGCAAACATATACATATGATATATGTGATTGTAAAGAACCCCAAACTAATTTATGGGCAATACTTATAGGGGCTTTTATACTGAAGGGGTGGAGCTATTTGTTTGTACCAGAAGTTGCTAATATTAGAATGGATGGATCAAAAAACAACTTCAGGTCTGTTGATGAGGAACAATGTTGTATCATGGTTAAAAGCTAAGAAAAGTTGAGATTTTGAAGAAAAAGTTTGATTTGGCAGATTGTGTCCATTAAGAAAGCTGATAATGCAAAACTTACTGCAAATTTCAGACACCATGATAAGTCTTGTCAATATCTACTGTGAGTAGTAGTAGTTTTATTTTAGCAGTTTTACAATGTATTTTTTACTGGTACATGAAATTTAAAGAAACAAAGCTCAAAGGGAAAAGGCAGAGGCAAATTTAATCGTTCTAAAATGTACTGTAAATGTACCTTTTCTTTCACAATCCTCCAATCACTACAATGCAAACCATCAACTCTCAATCTGACTTTTTACTGGTCTTAAATATCTTTCAGTGCATCTACGGAAAGCCAGGAGACTCACTCTTCACCAGCAGTGCGTACGCAGCTGTGCTGCACCACAACCAGAGCCCTGACTTCTACGACGAGGTGAGAAAATACATCAAAAATATACAACAAGGATAAAGTTACAGCCATGAAAGAGGCCCATGCATTTAAACTACAGTCCAATGTGTTTGGCTCACTGTACATTACAGTATTTATTTCATCTCCTCCTCCTCACTCCTCACAGCAGCAGTAGAACGCTACATTGATTTTAATGTTATTTCAAAACGTTATACTTTACTTTATACTTTAATTATAAGATGAGATGAAGCTTCCTAAACTAGTATAGTAGTCAGTCTGTCATCATTACATGTTGCCTATTGCATATGTTTAAATCCCCACGGCTCTGTTTGAGAAAATAGTCCCAGTAGAGCAGTGGTCAGACTGGGGCAGACCCTGAAAGACCTGTGTAAGTGGATGAGAACAGAGTGCTCCATATGTCGCTCATATCAAAAGGATTAAGGATCAGTCTGTCCACATCCATCTGCAGACACACAATAATCTGTCTTTTACCATGTTAGCAATTAATGTCTAACAAAAAGGTAATTTCTGCTGATGTACTCTCTGTGTGTCATTTCCTGAAGCTAATTATCTCTGTGTCTGTGTTGATTTGGACCTTGAGTCTGTGATAAAGTTAGCTATCTATCTGTATATTTTGTTTGTTCCTTGTAGGTAGGGAGGTAGATAGACAGATAATTCATTGACTCCCTGTAGAAGAAATTCAGGTGTTCAGCAGCAGAAACACATCCGCTCATACAAATACCAATAAATACATAATTGTGTGCTCTTACTACTGTCCTGTATGTGTTCTGCAACACTGAAATGTCCCTGCTGTGGGATGAATAAAGTTTCTCTTATCTTATCTTCAGGGTTAGGGCTATCTATATCCCAATACTGCCACCTGCTGGAATAAACATAGACCAGCATAGACGGCATAAATCAGAGTGAGTCTATTTAAAGACATACATGTTTTCATAACATAAGTGAGGTTTGTAACTTTTTAAATCATATTCTTAAATATACATGTTGTTTGTTGCAACAGAAAGAGTCTAAGTATATCAATCCTCTCGTCATGTTAGTAGAAAATAAGTTCTTTTGCATACTCAGAGGGAACCCTGTGAGCTGATTGGCTGTGTGGGAGTGGTCTGTTCTTTTCCACTTTTCCGTCTGAAAAAGCTGTTTTTGAAAACTAGTGAGAGCTGGGAAGGAGCTGGATGGAGTTTTATTACATGGGTAAAAACTTTGTGGTTTGATAATTAGGTTGTCCTGCTTTAAACCAGTCTACTCGTGCTTATTATTTAATTACTTTTTGATTTCATTTTTCTTCGATACGATCACTTGGTTTTGAGTTGCCTTGTTTAGGTTTTGTGCTATACCAATAAACCTTGCCTTGAATATGTTGAGGACTTTGGCTTTTCAGATCAAAGTGGAACTCCCGGTCCACGTGCACGAAAAACACCACATCCTCTTCACCTTTTACCACATCAGCTGCGAGTCCAGTAGTAAAACCAGCAGCAAGAAACGAGAGGGCGTCGAGACTTTAGGTAAACTTCACTTTATACTGCTTTGTCCAACACCTTTTTGAAACTGTGGGTATTCCTGTTAATTAGGAATATTCGCAGTTTGACGCAGCGGAGTCAAACCTGTCCTCAAAGGTGTGGGTGCAGGTTTTCATTCCAACCATCTCTTCCAGTCACCTTCTGGAGGCACATTTGCCTTAAACATGATTTGAAGTATTATAGTCTTTAAACTTCATAATATTTGTTTTTAGAAAGAATGGATTTTTGTATGATCATAATATCCTACTTTGTCCTAAAATGCAGCTTCAGATTTTCATTCTAACCAACCACACTCCGCTCATATTCTCTTCAGGTTAAGACAGGACTCACTTGAGGAGTCCTGTCTTAACTTGTGGTGTGCTCCTGCTTGGTTGGAATGAAATCCTGTAGCCACACCGGCCCTTTCTGGAACTAGTTTTACACCCCTGGTCTAAGGACAGTGATGGTCCGCAACATTTAAGGTCATTTCTGGACCCCTAGGACTGAGATTTAGAGATTATATTTTCATTCCCCAGTGGGAAAATTGAAATAATAATTTCTACGGCTTTCAGTGGGATACTCGTGGACGCCTTTGCTCCGAGATGGAAGGATGCAGTCTGTGGACATGCAGTTACCAGTCGCAGCCACTTTACCTCCAGGATATCTGTGCAAAGACTCCCGCAAGGTTTGTGTTAGCTCCATACCAGCGGGTGTCAAACTCATCCGCAATGCTTTGTGTCGGCCTCTGTGCTAAAGACCCTATATTAAATGTGAGGGATTGTAAAATGATTATAAAAGTTCAAGATTACTCTGTAATGTAAGTCTTTATCCAAAGATAAATGTTACTTAATGTAAAAGACCTGGATTAAAGTGTTTGTGTCACGTTTTGAAAAGCAGGAAAGACCCCAAAATGCAGGACTGCCAAAATATAAGACCAACAGCAAGGGGAGAGGAGCACAGGGTTTAAACACACACACATAAATACACACACACACAGGGACACACACACATATACATACACACCCACACACACATACAAACACAAACACAAACACACATTCACACTCTCACACACACAGATGAAACACATTAGGGCGGGACAAGCAATCAACAGAACAGACATGAGCAACACTGAAAAGATCCAAAATGAAACCAGCAAAAGTCATAAAAAAGTCCACACTAAACAAGTTTGTGTAATTTTGTTCACTGCTCACTTGAGGACATAGGGTTGTACTAAATGACAATATAACATGTTTTTACACTCAAGCTGCAATTGTTAATTAAAAGATACCAGAGCATGCAGAAACCAAATTCAGCTAAACGGACACCTCCTTTCCACATTTCTCACTTTTTTTCCTGTGGTCTCTTAATTCTTTTTGTAATTTTTCATAGATGAACTCAACATACAAATACATACAAGACTTGTTTAAGTAACCTTTTGTGAACAAACCAGACCACAACACGCTGTCTTCATCTTATTAGAGAACATTTGATATTTACATACTGAGATCTGATTGGCTGGGTGAGGGCTGGTACTCTCTTGTCATCAAAAAGTGGATCTAAAGATGTGACTGACACCCCAGCTCTTAACGATTCAATTTACAGGGTGCTTGCGAAAGTCTTAACAGTCTAAATAAGGATGGAATTTTGAAACACTGTTTTCCAGACCTTGAAAAGTCTTGAATTTTGTGTGGAAGTATGGAAAAAATGTATGGTAGAATTTGACAGTATGCTCAAAAGCTTTGTGAAATGAGAAATAGGAAGGTAGGCTAAAAAACTATAATTTTACTAACTGGTCACGTACTGTATTAGCCTGAATGATATCCAATCAGCGCTTGCTTAGCCTAGTCTGGCACATTTTCATTATGTCACTGCTGAGGTCTATTGACACGCTATTCTAGTGGTCAAAAGAAATGGCTCTTGTGAAAAAAAGTATCAGTTTTAAAAAAGTCTGGAATTTTAATTTGGAAAAAGAGCAAGCATCCTGATTTCAACAAACTATACCCACTATTCAAATCCTGACGGCTCATTCCTCTCTCAGTCTCAACCGGATGTCAAATGGGTGGAAAACGCCAAATCCCTTTTCAAAGTGAGAACTCATGTAGCCTCCACCATCTACACTCAGGTACGACATTCTCCCACAGACTTTATTACACATTAGGATTTGGATTAGGACCACTGTGAATAATCTGTGTTCTCTCTGATGCATCTACAGGACCTGCATCTACACAACTTTTTCCAACACTGTCAGCTGCTCAGGACGACCTCCGAGGGCAGCCCCGCAGATCTGATCAAATACCTCAAGGTGAAAAGTCTGTGAGATGAGAGGACACCAGCATTAATCGTTTAGTTTCGTTTATTATTGTCAGAAATTCGTATGTACCTCCAGCAGATGTCCAGACCAGTATTCAGAACATACAAAAACAGATACGCAGAGTTAGGCCTGGTTTAGCAGGTTCTCTCAGTTTTGGCATTGAGTAGACTATACTCAAAACCTCCTCGAGTGCCAGTGTTGGATGTGAATGTTCTACATTTTTTATGTTGTTTTTATTACTACACAGACCGCTTTGTTTTGTCATTTTCTGGTGAGAGTTTCAGATGTAGACTTTAGCTTTTTATTAGCAAGAACATCCTTTGGTTCCAGGAGTCATTTCTCTGAATGTGTAAAACTGTGTGATGATATTGCAATGTCACTTATGTCCTTACTTCTTTCCTTCCTTCCTTACTTACTTACTTACTTACTTACTTTCTTCCTTATAAGTTATATCCTTCCTTTCTTCCTTACTCCCTTCCTTCCTTACCACACACACACACACACACACACACTCTCACTCACTCCCTTCCTTTCTGTCCTTACCTACTTACTCACTCACTTCCTTCCTGCCTACCGTCCCACTTACTTCTTTACTTACTCATAAGTTGGTCTCTCCCTATGGACCAATTCATGTGTGTCTGTTTTGTGTCTTAACTGTTGATTCTCTGATCTGTGTGGGTGATTTCAATGGTTTTGTTAAGTCCTCTGAGATGACTTCTGTCGTGATTTAGGGATATACAAGAATAAGTTGTTGTTGTTGTTGTCCTTCCTCCATCCCTTCTTTCCTTACTTGCTCACTTCCTTCTTTCCTTCCTTCCTCCTCACTCACTTGATTCCTTCCTTCCTTCTGTCCTTCATTCCTCCCTTCCTCCCTCCCTTCCTTCCTTTCTTACTCACTTCCTTCTTTCTTTCCTTCCTTTCTCCTTTCGGTCTTTCCTTCTTTCCATCCTTCCTTCCTTCTTTCCTTACTTCCTTACTTCCTTCCTTGCCTATAAGGAGCTCGGAAGTGATGTTTGCTGCTTGCCTTGATGTGTATATGTGTATGTGTATATGTGTATGCATCAAACTGAATTTCCCCATTGTAAAACGAATAAAGGACCTTCTTCTTCCTTCCTTCCTTCCTGACCCAGTGCCTTCATGCGATGGAGACCCATGTGATCATCCACTTCCTGCCCACGATTCTGATGCAGCTGTTTGAAGTCCTCACCTCCGCGACCAAAGAATCCCAAGACACCGCCGTCAACTCCCTGCGGTCAGTGGACGGAGCTGGAGATTTTTGTTAAGTTAGAGATAAGAGAAAAACAATATAATGTAGACTACAAACCAAATACAGACTGTTTGTAGGTAAACATCAGTTTTAAACTGTCATTCGTAGTTATACAATATTAAATAGAATTATATTTTCATGTACAAGACCCATTTTTCCCAGTATTTATTGCACTTATCTCTGGAAAACCTCAAAGAAAAGGTCAGTTTTTCCAGGTCGTACATCCACTCTATTATTTGGTTAATTGCAAGTCCCAGAAGATGTAGAAATGACCTGCTTTTGGGTTACCACAAAAACGTACAATGTTTTTTACAAACTATTTCCCTCCAAAGACTTAAAGGAGCAGTATGTCAAAAACTGGTACTGCAGCCTCTCCCACTATCCCTGACTCAGGTTGCCAGATATGCAGACGAATCCAGCTGGGACCACAACAGCTGAATAGACAAGAGTTTTGTCAACAACAAATCTATAACCAACAGCTTTTTCACAAAGATAGAAATCCTGGTTTTCTTCCTGGTTTTGTCGTTAATAATTTGAGAATCATAACGAGATCTTTTTTAGTTCTGCGCCACATGGTACTTTGGCCAGTGAGATGAGCTCCACGCGCCAGGATCACAGACTTTCTGTTTCTGATTCGTGAAACGATGGAGGGCGGGACATCGAAGTGAAAACAATAACAAGATTTAGGGGCTGGAAAACTAATTTTGAAATTCATAAAACCTCTGAACTACTGTTATCAGTTAAAGAAGTCCTGGAAAAGAGCAGTTTATTATTATGACAGATTAGGGCCCTTTAATGATGACTTGACATGAAAAATCTTACATACTAGTACTTAGAGCTTGGTGTGTCCTGTTCATGTATAATACTTTCTCTTCACAGGGTTATTATACATATTGTGTCCAAATGCCACGAAGAAGGAGTGGAGCACTACCTGCGATCTTTTGTTAAGGTACTGAAGAGTCTTTAAGACTTCAGAGTCATTCATTTTATCATCCAAATCCACCCATTAACTGATGCCAGTCCAGATACTAACTTACCTACCTACCTACTTACCTACTTACTTACTACCTACCTACCTCCTTCCTACTTACTTACCTTCCTACTCACCTACTTACTTACCTACCTACCTACCTCCTTCCTACTTACTTACCTTCCTACTCACCTACTTACTTACCTACCTACCTACCTCCTTCCTTCCCAACCCTAACCTGCTTACTTACTTACTTCCTTCCTACTCACCTACTTACTTACTTACTTACTTCCTTCCTACCTACCTACTTACTTATTTACTAATGTACTTCCTTCCTAACCTACTTACTTACTTACCTACTTCCTTCCTTCCTACCTATCTTCCTACTCGCCTACTTTGAAATTTCCCCACTGTGGGACGAATAAAGGAACTCTTACTTACCTACTTGCCTACCTACTTACTTACCTACTCACTCACTCACTCCCTTACCCACTCATTCCCTGATGCCAGTCCAGATTTATAGAGTCCCAAACCAAACACTAAGCTAATACCACATGTGACTTGAAAAGTAGTTTTTTTCTCACGTTAATAAATCATGTATGTAAATCCTTTATGTTCCAGTTTGTGTTTGTGAGCCGTCCTTCTGCAGGGAGTTCCTCTACGACTCATGAGGTGTTGGCCACGGCTGTCACCACGGTCCTGAAGCAGACGGCGGACTTCATCACCTCCAACAAACTGCTGAAGGTCGGTACTCGTGTGGGTTTCTGACTACCCACTTGGAAAAAATGGAATTGAAGCTGCACAAGTCAAACTCAGGCCGAGGTCAATGGTCCTCAAGTTGTCAGAATGTGATTAGAACCAAAGATCTAATTAATATTATAATTAGTGAAGTTGTGGGGGCGACAGTAGCTCAGTTGGTAGCACTGGTCTTTGGACCCAATGGTCGTGAATTCGAGCCCACCACGACCCAGGTTATCTGCTCCCACTGATGTCTGCTGTCGTTGTGTCCCTGGGAAAGACACTTAACCCCACATTGCCTGAAGCCCCCGCTGAAAGACCAAGGCCATCTCGTTGATGACAGAGAAGCCATCATCCTGCGGACTCACCACCTGCAGCAAGATCAGTGAGGGATTGGTGCATTGAGACTTGGGGCAGCTCTGATTCTGTGTGTGTGTGTGTGTGTGTGTGTGTGCCCATATATATGTAACAGATCCTTATTCTTTAGGGAAACATCTCTGGTTTGGATTATTAATGTTGTTGTTTTTTTTCATGCTAAAATGCAATATGTGTTTTTGTAGTATTCCTGGTTCTTCTTTGAAACGATGGCAAAGTCAATGGTCCATTATCTGCAAGAAGGAAACCGGATGAAGGTTGGTTAACAATTACACTCACAAAGATACACACATAAACTACATGTAGCACCACACACTTGTTACTACTGCTTTCTACTGCTGCTTAACAATCTCCTACTTTGCTCATTTCATTCACAACAAAATTCAATGTTTTTTATTACACGGCTCCTCACAGCAGCAGTAGAACGCTCCATTGATTTGAATGTAATTTCAAAACGTTCTACCGGTCATTATTTCTTGATAACCGACCTCTCAAAACAATAATGACCGCTGCCCTTTGGCAACGCAACCTGTGCTTGTAATTCAGATGTGTAGATTACTCTGCAAGTAGTTCCGGCCACTCCGGAGCTAGCCACGCTCAATAAACGCAAAGACCAATCAATCGACACATTTAAATGTTAATCTGAGAATACATTACACATATAAATTCATAATACACACGCACAGAGGTTTTCAGAAGTATCTGTTAAGGTTCTCAAGACAAAAATACTGGTTTTGCGAAAAACCCGGAAATAGAATCCAGGACATTTTAGAACACATTTGCAGAAGATCGAATTATGGATTTAGGTTAGGTTTATGTTTGGGTCACTCACCGCTGGTGTTCAGAATTCTTTGTTCAGTTTTCATGCAGTTCGAGAGAGTTCTAGTTTGGAAGTTTCTAGCCTAACTGTTACTCGCATAGCCACTATTTTATTTTCTGTCATTAAATAAACCTTACGGCATTCCTAAGATTGGACTGAAGTTTATATTGTGTGTTCTGTTGGTACAAAGCCGGGATAATGTATAGTACGCAGGTCATTATCGGAAAATAAGTACCAACAGGGCGGAAGTAGACCCTCCGCTGCGCGTCGGGGTCCGCTTCGCCCTGTCGGTACTTATTTTGAGATAATGACCTGCGTACTATACATTATCCCTTACATAACAATCCCCAACATCTGCGCTTGAGTTAGCACAATATGGACTCATATTTTAACCATTCTCTCTCCTCGTCTCCATGTGCGGTTGTGCAGATGCCCCGAACTCAGAGGTTTCCGGAGAGTTTCCACCAGTCGCTGCAGTCTCTGGTCCTGTCTATCATGCCACACATCACCATCCGCCATTTCGAGATCCCAGAGGAAGCCCGCGCCGTCAACCTCAGCCTTGCCCATTTCATTAAGGTTTGCTTCTGTTTTCTCTTGTTTTAACTATTCTCTTGTTTTACTTAACTGGCACAAACGGTTACAGAGCATTTGGTCTTTATGTCTTCAATGCACACATTCACTGATAGATACAGTAGATAGATACTTTATTGAGCCTGTAGGAAAAATTCAGGTGTGCAGCAGCAGCAAAAATAAAAAAATAAGATGGATTATTCTAAAAAGCAAACAATAGTAACAATAAGCAACAGTCCTTCAGGTCACAGCAGCAGAGGTGGAGCCGCTTGGTTCAGACCATTTTCTCTGCTCTGGTCCAAAGTAAAATTCTAAATGCTTCATTAGCATTTTACAAAAAGTTAGCCTTTCTCCAGTGGATTTTCTCCTGATCCACTGGACCAGTGTAAAGAAAAAGTGAGATTGACGCGCACATCCAATTCTGAGCAGCGTGCTAGAGTTGAAAGTCGATGGATGAAAGAAATGGAGAAGACTCTGCACAGCTTTTGCTCCCAAGTGATTTTAATTATCGCCACAAACTGTGGACCAGTGTAAAACCATGAATCCTCTCTGCTCCGGTCTGGACCAGTGTAAAACCATGAATCCTCTCTGCTCCGGTCTGGACCAGTGTAAAACCATGAATCCTCTTTGCTCTATATGTGAAATTGTGTTATCCAGGTTTGAAATACAAATCTAACTATATTTGCCATAAAAGCAGTCACAGTTATGATCATGTCTTCCTAAGAATAAGACTAGTATAGTTTTGTGCCGTCTCCTGGGGCAGTGATTTCACCACGATAAAGATATTTGTGATGTGTTTTCTCCTCAGAGGTGTTTGACGTTGATGAACAGAGGGTTTGGGTTTGCGCTGGTCAATCACTACATGTGTCACTTCACTCTGAAGGATCCAAAGGTAAATTTTATTCATGACTGGGACTAAATCCACTCAAAGGATCAGGGAAGGACCTGTTGGAAAAGGTTGCCCAAGGCTTATTTATTTTATTTTATATTGTATTTTAAAATGATGTATTTCATTTTTAAATTATGTATTTTATTTTATTTATTTTTTTATTTATTGATTTATATTTTATCTATTTTATCTGTTTTATTTATTTTTTTATTGTTTTAATTATTTTTTATTTTTTATTTATTTAGACACACTACAACATGTACAGCCAGGGCGTATTTGCAAATACGTCCCTAGAAGCTTCTTTTCACACAATGATAAACATATTTTACATTGTATAAAGACAGGGGTCCTATGAGAGCACACAGGACAGCAGGGGGCGCCACTGTGCAAACATTTATACAATCATTTACATTGACAGTTTAATAAAACGACCAAAACTAATAAAACGTAGTCTTAAACTTATACTCATAAAACTTATATAAGTTTTCTGTTTAACTGGAAGATCCTGATGTACAGAGTTGTGTCTGTGTTACTGGGTCTGTTCATGCGGAACCACAACACAAGACAACATCAGAAACACAACAACACAGCATGAGCAACACAACACAACATCAGCATCACAACCATAGACTGTATATATTAACGGACGTAGTCACGCCTATCTCCGCTGTTCTAACTAATGGCCTTTCATGGAGTGATTCAAAATGGCAGTGGGGGCTGGAAAATGTGAAAAAAATGCATCTGTGCATGCGTCAGCCGGCACAAGCTCCATTCATTTAAACGAGTGACTTCAAAAATTCACAGCGAGTAAACTGTAGTGGTCCAAAAAAATTCACTCCCCTCAGCATTGACACACATGTGGAACAGAGCTTTGGGCCAAGAGCCAACTTTTGGACCATCCTGTAAAGACGTTTTTGGGAGGTCAGCTAATGCTATATGTTAGCATTGGCTAATTCTACTTCCAGGTTCACCCCCATCGGCCTTGCCTGGTTGTACCACACCTTAGTACAAATTACATTTCGTACTAAGGTCTGGATTTGCTCCATGGAGCTCCGTTCACAGATAGGAGGGGTTAACTCCTTTTGCAGATTGAAACGATTGGATCGCAATTTACCGTGACGGATGCAGTGCGCCCGAGTCTGTTGTTAGCATTTAGCATTTAGCCTACCCATCTCCTTTGCCATTAACGGAGCCCGTGGGTAGTAGCGCCACAATCTTGACCAGTGATTACATTTGCTAAACATTCCTCTTGCTCCTGCTTACATTTCTTGATAGAATCAGACCGGATTACTTTACTATCGCATTCTTCGCCATTGCCAAACCTCAACCTGCACGTTCGATGCAAACTCTTGACGTCACCGGCACCGACCTACAACACCCGCCTTCCGCACTCTCTGAGTAGCCGGTCGAAATACAACCGATTGTATTCGCTAACAAATGGACCAGACCCAGACGTTACACGCAGTGAAATTATGATTGAGCAGAGTGTACGGATGGCTAAGGCCAGGCTACCACCGCGGGCCGATGTATTATGTATTATCAGTGTCGTGCGTGAACAAGTTCAAAAGAACGCGTTCATTGAACACGCTCATTTTTTTGTGAACGCTGAACTGAACGCAACACTTTTTTAAATAAAGAACTTGAACGTGAATTATTTCACATTATGTGTCATGAACGGCAGACAATTTGTTTTCCATTGAAAACTGAGGGACATCTGTTTTCTCTTTTGAAACGCAACGAGAGAGTTCCTCCCTCTTGTATGCTCTGTGCTTTTTCAGCCGAAAACTAAAAATTCCCACTGTTTCCACCGTATGTGAACGCACCCCGACTGTGTGTTGTAGTGCCATGCTGTATTCTAATGCTTTTCCTGGGTGTTGCGACCCGGCTCAGCTAGGTGTGAGGAAGTAACAAAATAACCAAGATGTTAGAATGGTAACTAAAATCATAATGTATTTAGGTGACAAAATAGGTCAAACAAAATAGGATTAAATATCTACGAAACCCACAGAGTAAATAAATAACCTATTAAACAAGTAAGCAAGGACAAAACCAAAAGTGTAACCTAAACTGACGGGTCTTAACATAAACTACAAGTCACTGAACTAAAGTACCGGCACAAGTGACAGAATAAAGACAAAACTAAATGGCGAACTGGAGTCCACTGACTCCAGCTGCCCCGAGCTGCGGATGATTGGCAGCTTTTAAGGGTGGGTCCTTCAGGTGGGCACATGCTGATTGAAAGACTGCCTCAGCTGCTGCCCAATCAGCACCCTGGCATCGCAGACAATCAGCTCCAGGTGGGGAACGACTGGCCAATTGGAGCCCAGGACTCACGAGCGTGGTCTTCACCACGGGAGAAGTGACCCCCAAAATAGGGAATTACGGGCCGTGGGCCGTAACAATGTGTTGTTGGACTCACATGTGCCGTGATGAAAACAAAGGGTGAGTCAGCGACTCAGGGCTGTTTACATTTCACATAAAGTATAGACACATACACTGCAGCGCATTGCTGTCTGTAGTACTTATGAGCAGAGATGGGACAACTCAGATTTACTCCCATTGAAAACCATGTAAATCTTGTCTGTTTTGGAGTCAAAAGGCTCTCATCCTGTGTGGTGTAAAGGATATTATAAATATAATTTATATATATATATATATATGTATGAGTGTGTAGTGATTTCTTGCTCGTAGTGTGAAAAAAAGTATTTATTTAAATATCTCACAAAAAGAGTAAAAGGAACTGAACTTTGAACTAGTTCTGAAAAGCTGTGAACTGGCACAACACTATGTATTATCTATTGTGTTATGTCAGCGCAGCGTCTCATTTTGGACACTTTTGAGCCGGGACCTGCCCCCACAACGCAACATCAGCAACACAACAACAGAGCATCAGCAACACAACACAACATCAGCAACACAACACAACACAACACAACAACACAGCATCAGCAACACAACACAACATCAGCAACACAAGACAACACAACATCAGCAACACAACACCAGCAACACAACACAACATCAGCAACACAACATCAGCAACACAACAACACAGCATCAGCAACACAACACAACATCAGCAACACAAGACAACACAACATCAGCAACACAACACAACACAACATCAGCAACACAACAACACAGCATCAGCAACACAACACAACATCAGCAGCACAACACAACTACACAACAACACACCATCAACAACACAACAACACACCATCAGCAACACAACTACACAACATCAGCACAACAACACAACGCCACATCAGCAGCACAACACATCAGCAACACAACGCGACATCAACAACACAACCTAACACAACAACACAACGTCAGCAACACAACACACTAAAGGAGAAAATATAGATCCAGAGAACTAGAGCTGTTTCTTTTCTTCTTTAGAAATAATGGGTTTAGAAAATGGATCAGAGGATCTAGGAGAACAATGCTAGTAACAAACTGACTTTACTTTTTTTACTGTCCTGCAAATCTGTTAAAAGATTTAAATGGAAAAATCATGCCAGTTTAATATTGAAAAACAAGAACTGTCTTATGTTTTTTCCAAAGTCATTATGTTTTGTTCATTTGGGATATTGAATGTAGCTCCTCCTGCCCTATGGAGCTAGCCGGTTAGCATTGTCCATCCATATGCAGCCTATGTGCTCACAAAATAAAATCTTCACATCATTTTGTAGAAAGCTGTTTTATTAGTGTGTGATTCAGTTGTTTACATGTTGTAGCTGTCTCTGTATTTACCACTTAATCATTTGACTTGCAAATTCTGTGTTCTGTATCATGTTTGCACGTGTCTGTGTGCACGACTAACATGTTCCATCGCCGCAGGTTCTGTCTGAGATGAAATTTGAGTTCCTAATGACCGTCTGCAACCACGAGCACTTCATCCCCCTGAACCTGCCCATGGCGTTCGGACGCACAAAGCTGCAGCGAGTTCAAGGTGAATGTGAACTTGGGTTTTACGTATGGTCCTTAAACGCATCACGCTTCCAACAGCACAGACTGACTCCCATCCATCACCACACAGCTGCAATAACATGTATAGTGGTATGAGAAAGTTTGGGCACCCCTTTCAAGTTTTACGATTGTCCCTGTACTCCTCGAAGAAATCAATGTATTTTAACAGCACTAGTAATGTGTTTTTACTTTTTTTAACCCATTATTTTTTTAATTATAGGCCTTTAATAAATGGTTAAGTTTCAGTGAGGTGCCCCAAAGAGAGAGAGAAATTATGCTAGGCTAGGTGTGCATAGATATAAAAAAAAATTCATACATATTTGAAATTATGTATATTCATATTTCGTATTTTAAAATTACAACCTCTAAACACTTCCTATCGCATGCAATTACAGTCTTGATTCTAGTGGAAGGTATTTTGGACCATTCTTCTTTGCAGAGCATCTCTAGTACAGTGATGATTGATGGGTTCCTTGCATGGATACAGCCTAGTTTAAAATCATATCACAAATGTTCAATAATATCCAGGTCTGGGGGCAGATGGGTGTATGATCCAGCCCCGGCGCAACCTCAACTTTTAATTCCTGGTCATTTTTCTCCATTATCTGCTGATATTGAGTAGAGAATCCATGCGTGCCCAAACTCTTTCATATTACTGTATACTGTATATGTCACACTCCACCCCTTGGACAGTGTATTTTCTTCACAAAACCTACTAAATGTACCACACTTACAGCATGACACGTGTAAGTTCAGACTCCCAGTTCCTTTGTTTTTTACCCCGCCTTCCCTTTTGTGTTTTGCCTGTTCTGTGGTCAGATTTTATTCCATATGCGACGGAGCTTTTTGGGCCTGTAGGTAGGTGACTCCACGGCACTGCTTCTGCCATCTGCTCTGTCGTGGTTGTTCTTCCTCTAACCTCCGCTCATTCCGGGGATCACTCCGATACGAGGCTGCCGCTAACATCGACACAGCAGGTCCAGCGCCCGTCAGACTTTGCATTTGAAAAAGAAAGTATAGACGTGAAAGAATGGGTAAAAGTAAAGGGATGGGGTTAGGGCGAGGCGTACCGTATTACTGTACACGCCTGCATTGATCAAATAAGATACACGTTTAATTGTCCCACATTACAGCAGAATAGAAGGAGAAATAAGAACCCGGCTGCACACATCAAACATGAAGTATTATTTAAGATGGACTCTATTGATCTGACACCGGAGAAATGTATTCGTCCCACAGTGGGGCAATTTCAGTGTCATTGCTGCACATTACAGCAAAGAAAGAAGGACATTAGACTTGGATTGCACAAATCAAAAAGAGTTTATTGATTAAGATAATAGATAATATAATTAGACTAAGATAATGAGATGGTAAAATAGAATAAAATAATATAAAGTGAACTCTGGAGCTATAATTGCACGTGGTTCAGGAGTATTTATAGATGTGTATTTTGTTCTTCAGCAGCGGAGAATATGAGCAGAATAAACATCAGTAACAATATCAACAGGTAAAGTGACTAGTGAATGACAGAAGTAGCAGATGGATATGTAATAATGCAGTAATAACAACAGGTAAAGTGACTAGTGACACAGTGACTAGTGAATTATTATCAGTGACACTTGTACAGACTCAGCAGTTCTTGTTATACATTCTTGTGGTAAAGAAATAATAACATGAGACAGTGGATCTAGTTTTGCAGTTGGTTCAAAGATATAGCAGTAGAGATTATGACCAGAGCAAACTTTAGTAATAACAGAATTACCAAATCAATGGAATATGTGATAATGGAGTAATGGAAGGAAGGACCCCAAATAGTGGAAGGAAGGACCCCAAATAGTGTATATATACAACTGAATATCTATGTTTCAACCTCGCCATCAGATCTGCAATATCCTTTTAAATATTAAATCACAAAAACACTTGCTTTGTTCAGACCGCTATCAGCTTGTGAAAAGAAGCTGCTAGCATAACGAGGGAAGAAGCTGGAACATGGCTTTTCCATGGGCCAGAAGAGTCATTCACAAAGTATGAATACAAATATGCGACCCCAAGAAAAATGCCTGTTTTTTCACAAATATGTTCCAATACTATTTGAATGCAAGGTCTGAACGAGGGCATCTGTCAAGGAGACTTTTTAACTGCTTGGCTTTTGGTTTACTTCCCATTTGATTCTATGAGGTCAAGTAAATACTTGGTTCGTGCCTCTGTGGTATTTCCTTCTCTGCTCTCTCCTCACATGCAATTCTTCTATTTGGCAGAGAGCAAGTTGTGACATCGGGTGCATACCTTTTGTCCTTTCATGTTTTCATTGTTTTGATGTCAATCAACACTTTCTCGTCTTTCAGTATTGTGTTCTTACATTTGAGAGCAGCCAGCCGCCACCTTGTCACTGGCACACTCCAAAAACTAGTTGATGAATGGTATTTTTTGTTACAGTGGTCCCTCGTTTACTGGGGGGGTTGCGTTATAAAAAAATAACCAGCAATAAGAAGTTGCAGTGATATGTTGTAAGGCTGTAAAACCCTCACACAGACTTTAGACACTTTTCTAACCTTCGGAACGCACGACTGAGATGTGAGAGATACCAGAGAGATACCAGAGAGATACCAGAGAGATACCAGAGAGATACCAGAGAGATACCAGAGAGATAAGAGAGACAAAAGTTTTCTTAGCACTTTAAATTTAAGTAACTGTCATGTTATACTGGCGGATATATTATGTTGTTGGAGTTTACACAGGGCGCATGAGAAGCACACTGTAAAAAAACGTGCAAAATGGACAAAAACAAATCTGCGAGGCCTCGAAATGTGAACCGCGTTACAGTGAGCGACCACTGTGATACATAGAGACATATTCATCAGGCATTATCATTGAATACAAGTCTGCGCTATCCATTGTGGAGCATCCAAACACATGGTATTGGATCGTTGCTTGTATCAACGTTACAATAATGCCCCCATTTGAAAGAGATGTATTAGAACGAAAACAATTCAATCCTTTATGATTAATGGACTCTGACCGTGAGCCGTGAGCTAAAGGATGTTAAACGTGGTTCTCCAGTAGAGCAGAGCCTGGAGTACAACCTGACAGAGGAGTTCTGCAGACATCACTTCCTGGTGGGTCTGCTGCTGCGGGAGGTGGCGGAGGCTCTAGTCCAAGCTCCCGAGGTGCGGCAGCTGGCTGTGAGCGTGCTCAAGAACCTGCTCATCAAACACGCCACAGACGACCGCTACACGGCCTTTAAGGTGAGAGCAGTACATACATGGGGAATGTCATTGTTGCCAAGCAATATCCAGGCGGTGTAAGAAGGTGTAAAATGGCAAAAACCCAAGATTTGAACGTAATCTATCTGATTCTGGTTAAACTTGTGGTAAACTGGTTAATCCTGGTTCAGTCCTGGTACAGAAATGGTTCACAGCAGATCACTGCTTTATTTACTAAACTTAGTAAAGTGCCTCATTCTTGCCGCTGTTTTAAAAAGCACCCCGTCTGCCTCTGTCTCAAACAGGACTCTGTAGAGGCTCATATTTCTGTTATTATTGACTCTTTTTGGACGGTTTGAAGATCAAACCAGAGATTAGACTCTCAACGGTCCAACAGCTGAGCGGAGGCGGAGTAAAATGTATTGTAACTCACGTTACTGACCTTTTGTACTGAGTTAATATTACTCCGTTTTTGATTTGTTACAGGGAATTTACACAGGAGGCGTTAACAGCACGTACGCGTTGACTGCGCGCATGTGCGCGTAACATTATTTGGCTGTATGTACCCTGGCCGCGCGCGCAGGTCCTCGACTTCTGATGCTCTCCCTGTGTAGTCTATGGAGCAGTGTAGAGGACAGTACGGGCCAGAGGACTGATGTAGAGCAACACACATGCATGTGTTTGTCTTCATGGTCTCTGTGCGCTGGTCTGGACAGACGCGAGACTTTATGAAAGAAAAAAAAACGATGTCCAGAATCACTGTAAAACCTGCCAGTCCTCCTGCTAATATTTAGATACAAGTGCTGTGTGTGTGTAGATGCGATCTAAAGCCAAGGGCCGCAAGAAAATCATGTTTCACATGTGTTTTAAATGGGAGACGCGTTGCTGCGCGCACAAAATTAGCAATCCATCCTAAAATAGGCGCAGCCTCGCATCACACGTCCGTCATACGCGCGTATAACGCTAGTAGTGTAAATATTACCCTTGGTTAACATGTAAAAAATGTACGCGCGTCTTCTGCGCGTATAACTCGTACGTGCTGTAACGCCTCCGGTGTAAATTATCAGTAAGGCCTTACATTACTGTGTTAATTACATTGCACTAATTACATTACATTACTGTATTATTACTGTAATGCATTACTCCCAACACTGGTACCCACATAACTAAAAACCAGGTCAGATAATTGATTGACTGCGGAACCTTCCGCAGTCAACCATTGGTTTTGTATTTCTTTATTCCGTCATTTTTTTTGACACGTTTCACAGCTTTCACATTTTCAACAATTTCCACAAGTTATACATCAAAACGTTCCACATGTTTGGGAGATTATTGCTATTACTTTTGGGACTTCAGCGATTTCCGGTTTTTCCGCAATCGGACAAAAATCTGCATTGAGAATTCTGCAATGCATTTTAATAGGCCCATGCATTTTAATAGGACTTCAGCTCTTTCAGACATTTCTACAGTTTCAATGATTCAACAGTTTCAAGGATTCAACAGTTTCAAGGATTTCAGCAGTTTCAAGATTTCAAGAGTTTCAAGGACTTCAACAGTTTCAAGGACTTCAGCAGTTTCAAGGACTTCAGCAGTTTCAAGGACTTCAGCAGTTTCAAGGACTTCAGTGTAATCATGCAACCTAATAGGGATTTTTCCATGTAAACCAGTATAATGCAACTTAATAGGGATTTTTCCATGTAAACCAGTATAATGCAACTTAATAGGGTTTTTTCATGTAAACCAGTATAATGCAACTTAATAGGGTTTTTTTTCATGTAAACCAGTATAATGCAACTTAATGGGGATTTTTCCATGTAAACCAGTATAATGCAACTTAATAGGGGTTTTTACATGTAAACCAGTATAATGCAACTTAATAGGGTTTTTTCCATGTAAACCAGTATAATGCAACTTAATAGGGTTTTTTCCATGTAAACCAGTATAATGCAACTTAATAGGGTTTTTTCCATGTAAACCAGTACAATGCAACTTAATAGGGATTTTTCCATGTAAACCAGTATAATGCAACTTAATAGGGTTTTTTACATGTAAACCAGTATAATGCAACTTAATGGGGATTTTTCCATGTAAACCAGTATTATGCAACTTAATAGGGATTTTTCCATGTAAACCAGTATAATGCAACTTAATAGGGTTTTTTCATGTAAACCAGTATAATGCAACTTAATAGGGTTTTTTTTCATGTAAACCAGTATAATGCAACTTAATGGGGATTTTTCCATGTAAACCAGTATAATGCAACTTAATAGGGGTTTTTACATGTAAACCAGTATAATGCAACTTAATAGGGTTTTTTCCATGTAAACCAGTATAATGCAACTTAATAGGGTTTTTTCCATGTAAACCAGTATAATGCAACTTAATAGGGTTTTTTCCATGTAAACCAGTACAATGCAACTTAATAGGGATTTTTCCATGTAAACCAGTATAATGCAACTTAATAGGGTTTTTTACATGTAAACCAGTATAATGCAACTTAATGGGGATTTTTCCATGTAAACCAGTATTATGCAACTTAATAGGGATTTTTCCATGTAAACCAGTATAATGCAACTTAATAGGGATTTTTCCTTGTAAACCAGTATAATGCAACTTAATAGGGTTTTTTTCATGTAAACCAGTATAATGCAACTTAATGGGGATTTTTCCATGTAAACCAGTATTATGCAACTTAATAGGGATTTTTCCATGTAAACCAGTATAATGCAACTTAATAGGGTTTTTACATGTAAACCAGTATAATGGAACTTAATAGGGGTTTTTACATGTAAACCAGTATAATGGAACTTAATAGGGGTTTTTACATGTAAACCAGTATAATGCAACTTAATAAGGATTTTTACATGTAAACCACTATAATGTAACCTAATAGGGGTTTTTACATGTAAACCAGTATAAAGCAACTTAATAGGGATTTGTACATGTAAACCAGTATAATGCAACCTAATAGGGATTTTTCCATGTAAACCAGTATAATGCAACTTAATAGAGATTTTTCCATGTAAACCAGTATAATGCAACTTAATAGGGATTTTTCCATGTAAACCAGTATAATGCAACCTAATAGGGATTTTTCCATGTAAACCAGTATAATGCAACCTAATAGGGATTTTTCCATGTAAACCAGTATAATGCAACCTAATAGGTTGCATTATACCACCAGACCAAGACCCAAACGAAGACTCAGACCACCACCAGATAATGACCACAGACCAGGTTTCCTTAGTTACAGGAACCAAATTGTTTCAGCGGTGAGGGGATTTTTCAGTTTCAAGGACACTTTCAATACATTCAGTAGTTTCAAGGATTTCAACTGTTTAAGAATTTAACCAGTTTCAAGGATATCAGGAGGTTCAAGGATTTCAGGAGTTTCCACACTTTCAACAGTTTCCAGGTTTAAAAAAAGTTTCAAGGATTTCAGGAGTTTCAATGTTTCAACAGTTTCAAGGATTTCAGGAGTTTAAAGGTTTCAACAATTTCAAGGACTTCAGGAGTTTCAAATATCTATCAAGTATTTTAACAGTTTCAAGGCCTTTTAAAGGATTTCAAGGATTTTTTTTAGCAGATTTCCACATTAGATCTGTTCCGCAGTCAATCGCAATGGCTTCAGCCATTGCAAGTTTCTAGTTATAAATAATATTCATAATAATAAAAAAGGCTTTTTTGGACACTCAAAGACGCTTTACAAAACATATAGAATAACAAAAAGAGCTAAATTAAGGAAAGGCAGGTGGGTATTAAGAAGTGATTTAAAGATATGGGACTTTACTTGGTAAAGATTTTGGCTAAAATGAATACAATGGTACTACTCATTATTAACATACTCACTCTCCTAAGCAACTGTTGTCGTAAATGAATCTGCCCACTTCCTGTGTATTGTCTTCAAATATGACTGTTTCTGGTCCAGAACCAGCAGGCCCGGATCTGCCTCCTGTACCTGCCCTTGGTGGAGCTGATGTACCAGAACCTCCAACAGCTCTCTGCTCCTCCCTACACCGTCAGCCCCGGACTCAATGCAAGTCTCTCTCTCTCTACTTATCCATTTCCCGTCTTTTCTTCCACACTTCCTGACCTCTGTCTTTATCCGCCGCACAGGGATCCAGAGACGACCTACTCTGCTCTGGATCCTCCGACAGCAGGAGGACCAGTACCGCGGTAGACAGAGACCACGGTGTGTTGGGCCTCTTCCTGTTTATTCCACATCCATTACGACATTCAGCATTTATGAGCCTCCATTAGCAGACGGAAATGTAGCTTTATCCAATTTGTGCGTCCGGTTCTATAGACTGTATGTTTGAACAGCTGCAGTAACTCCTACATTCACAGAAAATAGCAGAATCGAATCAAAATGATCAAAACAGATATGGAAAGTAGCCGTTTGAGTGTAGCACAAGATTGCAATGAAAGATAGGCCTTTGCTCTTTCAATACATATTTAAGGACTTCTGCCTATAAACCACACGAGAAGGAACATTAAGTCTAACTCACTTTGAGATCTCGAAGCAGCGTTTCAAATGTGAGCGCTGGCCTTGCTCTTTCTGCTCACGAAGCTATCCTACCCCCATTACCCCCCTCCCACTCAGCCTGTGCTCATGTGTGTGTTGTTTACGGAGCTGGCATCTCACAATATGGACACACATTTGATCGTGGCATGGCCATAGAATGATGGAACCAGGAGGTGCGGAGGACGGGACTTTCTTTTGGATGTTTCGCTGAGTAAGCAGTTACCGGTAACGAAGACACGGGAAGTTTCAGGTTCACCTCCGCCATGATGCTCTTCACCGCAGCTGTCCGTGCTAACCAGAGACCTGTAGATTTTCTCAGGAAGGTGGGGGCCAGTGGTCTGCTGTGATTGGTCACAATCTGGTCCTGAGACAAATTCTCTCAGACAAATTCTCTAGATCGAGTTGCACGAAAACTTGATCTAAAATAAAATGACTCCAGCACAAACCTGCGCTACTTATTCTTCAAAAGGACGTATATCCGAATGCACTGCATGGATATGGATTGAATTTCCCTAATGAAGACAAAGATAAAGTGAGGTAGTCCAGCTTTAATATAAGTTATGTTGTAAAATTGATAAACCTTAAGGACACTAACAAACTAAAAATACACACATTACATGACATTATTGACATATAAAGTAGTTACTCATTGTTCAGAAAGTACTGTGTAAATATAAGTAATGTAATAGTGTGGTCACGATACATGGCCAATGTACTCAAAATAATAATACTTTTCTCACAATGGTAAGAGTAGTAATAATGGTAATAAGTTATTCTGCAGTAGTTATTTCAGTAGGTACTGGTAATTGTATGTAGTATCTGTACTTGCTAAAACAAATAGTATTTTCTTGTATGTAAACTAGCTAGTGTTGTCTAGGGGTCTCCAACCAGTAGCTCGCCAAAGGATTTAGAATGTAGCAAATGATCTTGAATGAATACATTTTGAGTCATCATATATTTACTATAAGTATAAATCTAGGGTTATACAGTATCTTGGTATATTTTACTCCATGTTTTGTCATAATTATTAGATACATTTTTAGTAAAAAAAAACGAGTAGCTGTCTGCCTCTTCTTTTGTATAGAAGTAGCTCTCAGATTTAAGGAGGTTGGAGACCCCTGGTGTAGACTGTTACATGGTGTGTTTGGTTCCAGGTCTACTGGTCCTGAACGGTCTTGTCAGACGAGAGGACTCCAGAGGCTCGCTGTTCATGGACCCTCCAGAGTCTGAGGTGAACTTAGAATATCATACATTTTCTCTCAAAGTGCAACAGATTCAAATACAAAACCACAAACAAAAGAATCAGAAGTACATAAATACATCAAAAAGATACATGAAGGGGTTAAAAGCTAATAAAGTGCTAAATAGGGCTGATTCAGAACTTTCCTCAAAATCCTTGATCTTAATTAATTTGTCCCTATTTTTGCTTTACTGGAAATACACTCTCCAGCCCTAAACTTTTGAGTTCTCAAAGTTGTATATTGTGATTTTAGCCTCTTTTGAGCAATGTATAGGCAGACCGACTTTATTGATCCACAGGGAAATTGCGTAGTAGCTTGCATAGTATTCCACAATAAACAATAACATTAAAGTAACAATCTGAAAATAATAATATAATTTTATGACAATAGAATAATCTGGAGATAGGTACTCAGAAATATACATATCTGTGAATATTTACACATTTACCGTATAAAATACAGAGGTAATAGGAAACTAAAAATCTGTCAATATAAACAAGGATAAAACAGATAGTTGAAGTGTGTTTAGATGTACATTCAAAATATTCTTATGGTTTGTGTTTGTGTGCGTCTGTTTCTGTGTGCGTGTGTGTATGCAGCTGCAGCGTAGATCCTCCACCATGAGCTGCAGTCCGGTGCCTCCTTTGGGTCGACTCGGTTCTTATGAGATCAAAGGCCTTCTGCTGTGTTTCCTCCACATCACCAGGACCATGGCCGAAGGTCTACACACTACACACACACAACACAGACACGACCCACAACACACACAACACACACAACACACACTACACACTCAACACACACTACACTCACAACACTCACAACACTCACACACACACACACACACACAAACAAGACACACAACACACTCAAAGCACACAACATACTCAACACACAAACAAGACCCACAACACACACTCAACACAATCACACAACACACAAGGTTACATCCACAAATTAAGATTTTTTATTTTTGTATAATCTTAATGAAAAAATAGACAAAAGCAACAGACAAATGTGAAGTGAAGGCAAGTAAATAAGTTTAGAATAAAATTCAAAAACTCAACATTTAGGAGTCATAACTCCTGGCCATACAGCACCAGGAGTTAACACCGCTGTCAGACTGTACAATAACCCAAACCCTACAATCACAGCTGCAGGTGTTTTGGGCCTTGGGGCTGAAAACAGGTTTGAGTTGTGAGTTTGGGAAGACAGCAGAGTCTTGTTAGATTTGCAGTGGCTCCATACTCTGTACTTCATTACTTAAATAACTTGACAAAATTAATACTTACACATGGTCATCATGTCTGTGAACCTTTCTTTTGTGTGCAGATACTTTGATGGCCTACTGGAACAAACTCAACCCACAAGACGTCATGAACTTCCTCAGTTTACTCGAGTGAGTTTTCTAAATACTGAATATTATAAATGAGCTTAAAAAACATAGTTATTTGGTTCTGCTATAGCAGACACAGTAAGAGAGCTATGTTATTATGATTCAATTCATTTTTGTACAGCCCTAATTCCCAACAGCAGTTGTCTCGGAGGACTTTACAAAGCTGTCGATTCGCAAACAGCAGATCAGAGATTCAATCAGTTCAAACACTCAGGAGCCATTGGTCCATAAAGACTAACATTAATGACATAATGTCCATAAGTGTTAGCCTTAGACTGTCCTCCTTCTGCAAGAAAAAAACTCCATCTCGCCTTGAAACTGTGGATGGGACAGCGGATGAATAGCAATGAACAGACTGCAGCTGAAGTCTTCATGATGACAATTGTCTGGTATAGAAGAACCAAATAACTATCGACCAAGAAGACGATATGAATCTTCTTAAACTAATAAAACACTAATCTACATGTTGGATGTGTTTGCTCTTAGGGTTTGCATCGTTCAATTTCGATACCTGGGGAAAAGGAACATTGGACGGTAAGAATCAGCACTATCTTTGGATTATTGTTTACTATTTATTTAAAATGGCTGCTTCAACAGGAGCCAAGACGTGTGTTTGTCTAAACTGTTTTCGTCAGAGAGAAAGTCCCAAACGATGCCTGTCATGAGGTGCCACAGAGCCAGCCTCATGCAAACCAAGATCAACCAGTTCATGGAGGCCTCCCTCACCCTCAACATCGGTAACACACATAATATCATAATATATATTATTTTTAAACAAATAATATAACAACAAAAATCCAATAGATAAAGATATCAAACATAGAGACACAGACACGTACACACACACACATACAGACAGATACACGCACACACACACATACAGACACACACACATACAGACAGATAGACACACACAGACATGCACACACACACACTAGGGCTTCGACTTTTGCACAAAAATCATATTCAAAGTTTGTTTGTTTATTAATTAAAATCATAATTTATTATATGGCTCCTCACAGCAGCAGTAGAACGCTCTAGAGTGAGCCCCGCGTACCACACTTTGAGAACCACTGCTCTATTGCCTTGAATGTATTTTCAAAACGTTCAACCGATCATTATTTCTTGATAACGGACTCTCAAACCAATAATGACCACTGTCCGCTGCCCTTTGGCAATGCACTCTGTGCTTGTACTGCAGGTGTGTAAAATACTAAGATTAATCTGACAGTAGTTTGTACACTTTGTCACTTATTAGTGACAATTATTATTTATTATTATGAATAACTCACGTTATTGCTGTCACTCATTAGTGAGAGTCACTTATTAGTGAGATCAATAACATTATGTGTGTTTCTTTAGAGCAGGGGTCCCCAATTATATTGGCACAAGGTCCACTTGATCAGTTCAAAAGATTAGGGTTCGAACATCATACAAATATTTGATTTCATAGAAATCCATTAAAGCTATTTCTTTCATATGAAATTATTTGAAAACCTTGAACAACAACAACTACAGTATTAAGAATTATTTGAAAAGAAAATCTAAATAGAGGTTCATATAATTCATACATAACATTAATCTCCTTTGTTCATTTCTACACAACACACCACAAACCTCTCCCAAACTCTCAGAGCAGAGGGTGCAACACATGATAATTGTAGAAGATAAGGGGATCTGACAGACTTTTTTGTTGAAGTGCTTCTTTCCATCAAATAATGTTTCTGTCATTGCCTCCACACTCTCTGACCACAACATTCGCTTTTTATGCCCAAAATCCACTGCACTCTCGTTTGGCATTAAAGCTGGGCATACACTTAATTAACACTTTGTTAATGCTTTTATAATATGTTTTTGATGTGTATATTCAGACTAAACATCAGCACACACACCTTTGTCTCGCTCCTCCTCCTCCTCCGCTCATACAATACACAGCCAGTGTGAGCAGCTGAAAGCGAGCGTCCTTTGCTCCGTATGGCGCTCATTTCGTCTCTTTCACATCTCTGACTCTCACTCGAATTTAGACACTGCTAAAGTTATTTTGATAGCTCCGTAAAGTTTAATTCGAAGGACCCCGCTCTGCAATAGCCGCCCTCGCGCCTGCCTGTTTACAAATCGCTTTCGGTGAAAATTTGACACATAATTGTAATAATGTACTTTTGAACAAAAAAATCACCAAGGTCCAGAGAAAAGGGTCTCGGGGTCCAGACCTGGACCGCGGTTTGCCATTTGGGGTCCACTGCAATGGACAATGCAATGTCCATTGCATTGTCATCTTCTTGATCTGAGCCCTTAGTATAAAACCCTCTTTAATCCAACAGAAAAGTGAAGAGGGATCACGTTCACAGTTTGTACTTTTTTGTGTGTGTTTTGTTTTAGGCAATGGTCTTTCTGAAGCGGAGATCCACCACCAGGCTCTGCTGGAGGGAAACATGTCCACAGAGATCAGCCTCAGTGTCCTGGATGTGCTGGCTCAGTTCACTCACTGTTTCAAGGTATTTATACAACCATATTTATATACTGTATAACCATGAGGCTAAACTCAGATCCTCGGGCAGGTCCCTGTGACTGTTCCAAGGTCGAGGCTCTGGACAAAAGGGGAATAGAACCTTCTCTGTCCGGGCTCCTCGACTCGGGAACCACCGAGGACATAATGGTCCTTCAGTCTCCTCTTTTAAATCACTTCTTGAAACCAACTTTTATCAAACAGCTTTTAAATATGCAGTAAGTGATGTTGTTAGCTTAGCCGTAGCACCAACTGGAAAGCACTTCCCCCTCCCCTCGCCTCTCCACCAAACCACTCCCCCCTCCCCTCCCTCTCCACCAAACCACTCCCCCCTCCCCTCCCTCTCCACCAAACCACTCCCCCCTCCCCTCCCTCTCCACCAAACCCCTCCCCCCTCCACCAAACCAAACATCCAGCATTTTCTTTTCTTTGTCACAAAAGGGAGAGCGGGCGGCAAATGTGAAATTGGCATTTTCTGTTCAGTCATTTCAGGTTTATGAAAAACCGATAACTCCGGTGCGCACACTCGCAACAAACAGAAAGAGGGTGACGGGGGTAAACGCACCCCATTGGTTCGTTGGGGATGAACAAAACTCTCTGGTATTATTGGACGAGCACGTATCATCAGAATGATTGACAGCTGGGAGGACCAATAGTCTTCATGGTCTACCCAGAAGTAGAAAATCCTCCTCTATACCTTTCACTTATCTTGTGCTGTTTGCTGCTCGCTCCTCATGTTCTGTAACTTTTGATGCAACACTGACATTTCCACAAAAATCTTTTAATCTTAATCTTCAAACTTCTGCAGTAAAGGATGAATAAACGGCCGTTGATAAAGCTTTGATAAGATGGTGACAGTAGCAACAGTCCATAGTTATTACCCCTTTAAATGCTTTTCATTACGAATGTTTTAAGCTTTTTAATAAGCAACATGAAAAAATAATCTCATAAACTTAACTATGTTTTGTGTAGTAAACAAAATAGTTTTCTTCAGACACAGGTTGCGACAGGTTTTGCCTAAAGGTTTCCTCATAAATATTACTGACTTCATACATTACAGGTCATGGTTTGACACGTCTCTTAGTCTCTCATTATTATTAACTATTGTTGTTGTTGGATCAGTCATCACACGCTCGATAGAAAATGACGCCCAACAGCAGTTAATTATGATATTGAGTTATTTATAGATAGACACTTTATAAAGGTAAGGGTGCACTTTATTGATCCCCGAAAGGCAATTTTGGGGATTTTACCTAGTGTGCATGTTTTTAGTGGTAAGGGAAACCGGAGTAACCGGAGGTAACCTACGCAAGCACAGGAAGAACATGCAAGCTCCACTCAGAAAGACCCGGGATTTGAACCCAGGATATTAAAGCTAAGAGGCGAGAGTGCTATCCACTCAGCCACCGTGCTGCACTGTGCCTAGACACTTAACAGACAAAACAAAACAGATAAATACATATATTTTAACAGTAGTGACAGTTTAGGTCACAGCAGCAGGTGGTAATGTGCTGCTGCCTCAGGTTGATGTTTGCAGAGTCTGCTTGGTTCGAACCATTTCTCCTCTGATTCAGAGTGAAATACTGGATGCTTTTTTGGAATTTAAGAAAAAACAAAAATCATTCCTCCAGTGGATTTCTGCTTGATCCATTTGCTCTGGTCTGGATCAGTGTAAAACCATGAACAGTTGCAGAAATATTTACAGATAGAAAAAACAAGAAAAATGAAAGCCACAAGCGGCGTCGAACGGCCCTCGCCGCACCGAGCGCACTCCCCGCACCGCGCGCACCAAGCCGCCCTGCACCACGCCGCACCACACCGTACCACGCAGCACCGCGCAAAGGAGGTGGCGCCGCCGTGTGATGATTTGTTCCCTTAGCCATAGAAGATTGTTAGTCAAATTAATGAATATGATAAGTAGAGCTGGTTTGGCACCCCTTGTAAACTTTGACTAAGTCTGTAGGGGGCGCTAATGGGCCAATTTCAAATATTTCCATTTTGCAATGAAATTTATGGGCTTCTTGTTTGTCAGAGGGCTTAGCCATAATATAATTTTTTCCATGTCTTGACTTGAGGAATATGTGTACCAAATTACATGGTTCTACGACAATTTTGACCTCGAACCCCTCCCAAAGGCGTTTTTAAATTGGCTGTTGTAGGTGGCGCTATAGAGCCAATTTCAAAAATTTTACTTTCAAATGACTTACACCCAAGAGTTAAACCATGGATGGAAGTTTTGTGCAAATCAGACTTTGTTTGTGCAAACATAAGCAATTTTTCTATTGTCAAAAAAAAATAAAAATCACGCCACTTTTTGGCGCTCCGCTGCTCAAACAACGTTTTACTGATCAAAAGTCTGTGAAATCAAAATGATGGTACATGTGTTTAGACGATGTGGAGCGATTTTGAGGCAAATCTGTGAAACGGCCGAGGAGGAGTCGCTTTCCAACCGACACGTGAGAAAAGGATCATGTTTCATTTTTCCATTTTGAAGTGAAATTTATGGGCTTCCTGTTTGTCAGGGGGCGGGGCCATAATAACTTTTATTTCATGTCTTGAGATGAGGAACATGTGTACCAAATTTCAAAGTTTACCAAAGTTTGCCTATACAGCAAACTTGACCTCGAAATGCTCCCATACTAAAAACTTTGACCCCATCTGTAGGGGGCGCTAATGAGCCAAGTTCATTTATTTCACTTTCAAATGACCTAGACCCTAGAGTTGAACAATGTATTAAGATTTTGTGCAAATCAGACTTTGTTTGTGCAAACGGGAGCAAATTTAATGTTGTCAAAAACGGCCAAAAAACACTCACATTTTGCCGCTCCGCTGCTCAAACAATGTTTCACTGATCAAAAATCCCTTTGGTCATTTTGAAGGTACATGTGTTGAGATGATGTGGAGCGATTTTGAGGCAAATCGGTGAAACGGCCGAGGAGGAGTCGCTTTCCAACCGACATGTATGAAAATGATTGCGGATCATTTTTCCTCTTTGCAGTGAAATTTATGGGCCTCCTGTTTGTCAGAGGGCGGGGCCATGATAACATTTTGGTCGTATCTTGACTTGAGGAACATGTGTACCGAATTTCATGGCTCTACGACAAACTTGACCTCCGAAACTCCCATTGGTTGTTGTAGGTGGCGCTGTTCTGGCATTTTTTGAGTCCCATAAAAATAAACACCAAAATATAAAATTTTTCACCAGGTCTGATGTTTGGGCAAAATTTTACAATTTTTTATGGATGTTCAGGGGGTGAAATTAAGGCTCAAAGTGCAGAATTTGACATCTCTTGAGCAAAAACAATAGGCCCTTTCCCCGTTCGGGGCTCGGGCCTAATAACAAATGTAAAACACAAAAAACAACAACTGTATCAGAGCAATTTAGTTTCCAGCAAATTCAAAAGTAAATGTAAAAGTAAAATCAAAAGTTATTATTTCGGACTTCCGGTGATGACGTCAGAAGAGGAGCAGGGCCAGAGAGCTCCCGGCCGACATACTGATAAAGTTATACATTTAAGCTGTCTTTACAGTTATATGCACGTGCAGCCGAAAGGTAAACGTCCGCTGTCATGTCTGTGAAAGAAGGGGCTGCGAAGAACGTCGAAAGACGGAGAAATCATCAGAAAACCAACCCGCATGTGGTCGAGTCCAAAGATGGCGAAGGTGGCGAGGCTACACGGGCTTGTGCAGGTAGCGTTAGCTTAGACAGCACTAAACCATGCACGCAGGATGACTTGATTGCCGTGTCAAACAAAATCACCGACAAGATTTTGGCTGTTATAGACATTAAGATAACGGAGGTCTCCAACAAGCTCGACACGACTAATGCTAAGCTAAATGCCGAATCTCTGCGTTTGGACGCGGCCGAGCAGCGCATTGCTGTCACAGAGGAGAGCGTGGACGAGCCGGAGACGCGGCTGGCGGATGCCGAGAAGAAATTGGCACTAATGGCTGGAAAACTGGACGATCAGGAGGCAAGAGGACGCAGAAACAACCTCAGGATTTACGGGGTGAAAAAGGGAATGCTCTATCCTTCTTTGAAACGTGGCTACCCAAGTAGCTCAACTTTGGGCCCCCCTGAAAGGCCGTCTTGTACTGGACAGATGTCACCGGACGTGGGGTGCTGGTCGCTTCGGACCAGATACTCCCAGGCCCGTGATCATGAAGCTAAAATAAAAAGGAATCACAGATAAAATGAGAGTGCTATCACTGTGCGCGGGGCGCAAATTGACATGGGAAGGCGCTACAATCACTATACGTCAGGATTTCCCTCAAAATATTGTCCAGCAAAGAAGAGCGTTCAACACCGTATGCCAGAAGCTCATCGCCAAAAACATCAGGATCCTCGCGTTTTCACTTAACAAGAAGGAGTACTCTTTTGATAGCACGTCTGCGGCTGGAGTCATCGTGGACACTATGGAGCAGGAGGCCTCCTGTGAGTAACTGCACGTGAGTGAGTGGGCGCAGGTGAGGTCTGTACGATAGACTGTGCAGACTGTACCAGCGCTTGCAGTTTGCTCTGCCTTCTCTTGGTATCTCGAAGTTTGAAGACTTTTGATATGAGGGACGTTACCTTACCCTCTATTGGTATGTTTGTGTGTCATGTTGTGTTTGTGAGTGCGTGTTTTTGGCACTCAAGTTATTTCTTCACACTGAGCAGACTCTTTATGTTGTATTTTAATGTGAAATATACCTGTTTACACAAAAACCCTATACACTCTCTCTGCTCTGGAGAGCAGCTTCAGTGACAGACTAATTCACCCTCGATGTGTGAAGGAGAGGTTTCGCAGGTCTTTCCTTCCTGCTGCTGTCAGACTGTACAACGAGAATGTGTAACAGGAACTGCTGAGTCTGCACAAGTGTTTCTGATAATTCACTAGTAACTTTGTCACTAGTCACTTTACCTGTTATCACTACAGTACTACATATCTGATATTTACTGTTATCAGTACTACTGTATTATTTCATATCTGATAATTCTGCCTTTCA